TATTGTTCCTTGCATGCAAAGTTTTGCTGTTTTACATACTTGCTGTCGTTTAAGCCGTAATTTGTTCCACCAACAGGTGCGACACAGCAAAGTGAAGGAGATGTCAATCAAACAGAGTGTACACACAGTATGTGTACTGATAGTTGTAACTGTTGCAGAAGTGTTGCCTTGTGTTTGTTGGGGATCAATGTGTGTTAATGTGAGCCACTTTATGGAGGTCAACCAGGCCGAGGAAGGTTTGTTTTTAATCTGGAATGATGATAGACATTTGCAAAGCGATATGTGTGTAGTTCTGAATCAGAATATCTGCAGCGTGCGTATTTGTGCTGATGGTTTTTTTTTCCAGGGCATAAATGTTGTGCAGCTCCATGTTTGTATGCATTCATTCGAAAAATAGGCCAGTTCCCACGAGAATCTCCTACTCACTGTCTTTCTGTCTCTCCACATACTTTCCTGTTTGTCCATTCGCTTGTGTTTTCACACCCACATCCCTACTCCTCTATAGTTTGTCAAACCATTCCTTCTTCCTCTCACCTTTCCATCCTTTTCTCACTCACTTCCTTCCCACCTCACTTCCTTGTTTTTCAACCTTCCTCCATCTCGTCACTTAGTCTCAGTGAGTTCGTCACTCGCTCACACAAGCCCTCGTCTGTTCATTCGCACCCACTCAACATGCGGCTTGCCCAAAAAACGTACAAACTTACACTTGTTTGCTCGCTCAATCTCCCTCTCTCAGTTGTTGCCTTGCTGTGTATCCTTCCCTCTAAATCTATACTATTAAGTTTCATAATGGGATCAGTGCCCTGTTAATAGGTCGCACTCTGTGAAAGCGTTCTGTCTTTTAGAAGAGGGAAACCTCCCTATTAGTTCTTCTTCACACTCTCCGTATAGGTTTGTCATCACTCATCATTAAATTTCCTGTCAATCAGGCAGCTCCATTTTGTTTCTCTGGTCTTCCCGCATCGTATTAATCATTTTGCATGTTTTGGCGTATGAGTCGCAAATAATAACATAACATTATGATGACTTTGCAATAATAAGAAAAGAAAAGGGCTACCTAAAGGGCCTTTATAGCATTCAAAAAGCCAAACCTTTTCATATTGCTGTGGATTAAACTAAAAACAGTGTGTGTCTGAAAGGTAGCAAAGCAGAATCAAAAATTGGAAAGACTTGTTGAGCAACCAATGCAGGCCTCTTAGGACCTCATGTTGTGAATTCCCAAGACTCAGTGGATCCAGGAATGGGTCAGTAAATGTCAACCGTGAGTCAGCGGCATCCTCTCATCAATTGGACACAACAGCAGGAAGCAATAAAATGAAAGAGGAGGAGAAAAATGTATTTTATTTTGTGTGTGTTCTTGCAAACAGCATTTGAGCCTGTATTCAGTGGAAGATGACATGAGCACTGGCGGAAATACATTGACTGACTTTTCTAAAAAGAAACTGCAAAATCTTTGCTGCAGGTTGGATTTAGTCCACTTTTAGCTGATAACTGTAAATGAATATCTGACAAGTTGCTGACATGTGATACAATAACTAAATACATAAACATATCCATCAAATATCTATTTTCTCTTCCACACTCTCTCTCTGTGTCGGTTTTTCTCCCCGGCTTCGGTACGCGTTGTCACTCCCCATTAATGTGCTCAGAACGGGGTCAGGGCCAGATCAACCCATCCTGCGTTTGTTTCGACGCTCTGCAGGTTGTCTTATGCAAAAGTAGGTGGGTGGGTGTTTGTCCTTGTGGGTCTGTCTCTGTATGTATGTGGGACAAAGAAAGGGGACATCTCCAGTTCTCAGTGTGTGCAAGGGTGAAACCACTCAACCTCTATGATCTCCTTTTTTCAATACAGAGGAAGAAAACAACCGACTGGAGGTGACTTCAATACAACGTGAAAATCATGGATCATTACTAGCGCACTGTGATGGTCTTAAAGCATGTTGTCCTCGGTTTAATGATGTTGAACAAGGATTGAAAGCTTATTCCTCATGCTGTGAATAGCTCTTGCTAATAGGTGTTCTAATATTATTATTATTGCTTTGTGCTGGGGTCACAGCAGAAGGTAACATTTACTTATAAATTGTGAGGTAGCTACTAGGCTGCGTACAGGGGTTATTTTATTTTTTTCTCTACTGTTCTGATTTCATACAATTACACGCTATCGAGTTTGCTAGCGGCCAATTAGCAAACTTTGGCCGCAAACGAGACAACACGTTATAGTAGTTTATTGAAAAGAATTATTAGTTCCATCGTTTCCAGTCTCATAACTGACCGCGAACCATAGCTCTGTTGCGAAACAGTTTTAACTTCATAGCCGATTATCAACGGCAGCTGCCTCTATTTTGAACAGTAATTCTCCAACTGGTCAGCACTGTCGTCTTACTATTGATCAATAGCAGTGATTCAATTGGAAAGGATGTATTCACCGTTTCAAATCCACTGACCACGCCCTGTAGTGCAACTGACTCTCAGATATGAATTCCAATCAACTGAACTCACTAACACCATTTAACAAACGCCAACAGCAAGGACATTATTCACTGAAATGATCTTTTAGGTTTAGAATGTACAGTGTTGGACCATTTCATAAATAAAATGAGTCGTTGTCTTCACTTTAACCTCATAATTTAAAGGCGCAGAGTTGCTACATAATTATAGATTTCTTCTTTTTTTTTCAGTCACTCAGCTTCCCAGCGGTCCAGGTAATTGGACCAAATCTAGTCCAGACGCACCTCTGACCCCCATTAGACACTCTTATTAAAGCCAGTTTCCATTGTGAACCCAATAGTTACTGTTTAATAATTGTACATTTCTGTCGATTTTTTAAAATTGTTTTATTGAGAACGCCTGCTCTGTGTCTAAGATCAAAAATGAAGACTATGTATATATATATTTCTTTTTTTTGGGGGGGGGGGGGGGGGGGGGGGGCATTGTATCAAACAGTCTTGGAAGTATTGTTCATTTGAGTCCTGTTTGAATGCCTGAAGGTTTTTTTTGTCACTTTGCATGTTGTGGGGGTTTCAGATAGAGAGGTGCCACTTCCTATCAAGGGTGATAGTTTAAACCTGCCCCATTTGGGCTGGCAGCACCAAAATCAATACAATTTTTGCTGTGTTTTTGATTGCGTCCATTTGTAAATACATTGCTCTAAAAAATTAAACACTAAAGAGATCTCAATGTGAAAAATAATTATAATATATTATCTATACTGATATGGACAGTTTAATGTCTCAGAAACGAAAGGATGCCACAGCTTTTGATGGAAATAAAAGTTTCAGCCTACAGAGGGCTTAATTTTTACACCCCGAAAATCAAAGTGAAAAAATAATGTGACAGGCTAGTCCATTCTGCCAAATGTCAATTTCTGCAACTCCAAATCCGGTGGCCCCCACGTGCCCTGAGTTGAAGGACTTCATCCCAATACCTAATGGCAGACTGCTGTTCTCTAGCCTGTAGAGGTCTGTGCGTCCCTCCCAAGGCCATCACTGACACACCGGCAGCGCAGCGTTCTCCTTGGCTTCTTCAGACCTGTTCACCTCTATCACCGGTGTCCAGGTTGAACCTGCACCCAACTGTGAAAAGCACAGGGCACCAGTGGTGGACGAATTCTGGGGTCCGATTGCAAATACCAATGGAGCTCCACAGTGGCGGGCCGTGAGCACAGGGCACACTACAAGACGTCGCACCCTGAGGCCACCCTCATCAATTCTGTTTCTAATTGTTTAGGCAGAGACATTCACGCTAGTGACATCTGGAGGTCATTCTCTAGGGCTTTGGCAGTGCTCAACCCGTTCCTCCTTACACAAAGCAGCAGATATCGGTCCTGCTGATAGGTAGAAGGTTGAGGACCTTCTATGTACAGTGTTGGACCAGTTCATAAATAAAGTAGAGTAACTGCCTGTCTTCTGGAATCTCCTCCATGTTCTGGAGATTGTGCTGGGAGACACATCAAATCTTCCTGCAATGGCATATGTGGATGTGCCAACCTGGAGGAGTTGGACAATCTGTACAAAAAAAAGATGATTCCTTTCATTTTTTTTGAGCACTGTATTTCTCTCACTCGCAATCTCCACTCTTAAGGAGTTTGAGGTGCGCTTCTGTTACCTCTATCAGGGTTTACGACTGTCCCATTGTCAAATCGTTGAGCCCTTTATCAACCCTTTGCTTAAGTCAGCTTTGACGAATTACCCAAACGCCATCGCAATGTGACATTAAAAAACGGGATAACTAACTAACACCATTTAACAAATTTCAACGGCAAGAAAAATAATTAGCCTGGGTCGTGTCAGGGGGACATTGGGATTGGGCCTATGTGTGTGTCCCTTCAGCACATGCATATGCTGATTTACTTAAAAGTGACCTTTTTGTCACTTTGAACATAGTCCTTGCAGGTCTATGTGTTTGTGTATGTGTCTGTGCGCCATGTTTTTGGCCCTCCGGCTTAGTTACACAACATCACAAGTGACGCTGGGAATGGAACCCATGCAGCTGTTGACCACAGTCTGTTTGTGAGTCTTGATGATTGTGATTGGAGGTAATTTGCCTACGTGAAGCAACATAGTGCTAGAGCTGCAGTATAATTATAATCTAGACCAGGGGTACATTGAAAGTGGCTGGTGATAGACTATTTATAGCTGATCGCTGATTGCTTCTACATGAGTTGCTGCTACTCAAGTGGAGAGGCTGCGGTTGGTGAATGCGTGCTTGGCTCTTGAGATGAGAGATTTTGGTTGGTTTCTTGACGCTGTATGTTCATTTTTCAGATTATTGTTTTGAGAAGTATGATTTGTCAAACATGGCAAACATTCACAAAATTCCCATGAATAAGGAAGAAGTCATACTGATTTATAGCCTAAAGTAAACCTTGTAAGCCAAGTTGTAATAAACCACAATGATCCTTTATATTTTGTGAGACACCGCCCGTGTGTCTGGTATATTAGACTGGATAAATCATTGTTTTAACTTACTCATCTATTTCCTTCTGTGTTTGTGTCCCAAAGGTACTACAGCGCCACCATTCTGCAGATGTCAGGAGTGCGAGACGTCAGGCTGGCGATCTGGCTGGCGGGACTCACCACCCTCACCAACTTCCTGTTCACCCTGCTGGGAGTGTGGCTGGTGGAGAGAGTGGGCCGCAGGAAGCTCACTTTAGGCAGTATCATTGGTAACTCATTTAACTTGTCCACATCAGGAAGTGACATGTGCATATCCCAATGCTCACATACTTGCACGTTATGTGTTATCATTCTTTGGACAGGCACATGTTTGAGTTTGAGTCTGCTGGCCATCGGTTTTCTAGTGACTGCCCAGCACAGCCCTCCTGTCACCTTCCACCCATTAGACCCATCTATGGCCAACTCTACCTGCTCAAAATACCAGTAAGTACATACTCGTGTTCAGTTTGTTTTCACGTAGCCTTCATTTAGCCTCAACGGATTGCTGGCTCCTCGAAAGAAGAATTTCATTATACAGAGTAACTTGTTAAACTGTATACATGAAAATAAATATCTTGAATCTTAAATCTGCTTGAAATGACTCCCATTACATTCCCCTCTCCACTTGCTCTTCACTGTGGTTTTTCATTATGTCCCAGTATGCATAAGTATAGCAAAAAGCAGATAGCTATGGCGAGGTCCTTATTCATCTGTGAGTGCGTCTGCTCTTTGTAAAAGTACTCAACACTTGAGAGCACCAGACGGTAAAATACGTCCAAAGGGATATTTGCAGTGAGGTTATTTCAAGTTTTCATACATACATTAATATAAATACCGAGGTGAAAGGAAGATCTTAAATTATTTAAAAAACAACATTGATTTTGCGTTTATAGTCTTTGTACCTTTTATGTCTTAATAATAATCCAATCATCTAAAATTCACTTCGCTGTTGCCACAAAGGGCAAACACGCACTGCGTGTGTTTTTTTTTGTGCATGGCAGAGAACAGATGCCTTTGTGTCCCAATATACTCTCACTTACACAAGATGCGGCTTGTGTGTAACTTTGTGTTTCATCATAACAACAAACAAGGCCTAATGGACTCGCTGTCCGGTACCCACACCCCATAGCGCACACAAACAGAGGTAATTTGAAGAGATGAGTGCTTTTACCACACTGTAGTGACTTCATTGAGGTCACTTTACTCTGATACCAGCCCACATATCCCCTCACTGACCAGAGCAGCAAAGGCTTATTGAAGAGCGAATTCTTAGGATGTCCTCAGTAGGGTTGTGTGAGTACAAGTCACTTGCAAAAACGCAATATCTTGAACTCTAGAAAGCGGCTGTCACATATTTACATATGTCGTGCTAGAAGGCACTCAAGTTGATGAGCGGCATTGTGTTTGTATTGTATTGTTAATTCTTCCCAGCGTTATTCAAATGTGACGGTGTTTATACCTTTCAAAACCATATAAAAAAAGATTAAAATGTCACCCTAAACGTTGATATTTTACTATTATTGATAGACACTGTTTTTTCTATTGCTTTGACTTTTACTGAACTGCTTTTGTTTTTTGGGAAGAAAGAAAAAGGAAGCTCGTCCTATCGTTTCATCCGAAGTCCGAAGTTTAATGGATTTTATTATTTGTTAATTAATTAGCACCCTTGTTTATTGTCACAAAGAAAACTCCCTAACTTCCCTAACTACAAACACATAACATTATTATATATTATTTCCAAAAAGCTCTCCACACCTTCCCTTACTATCTTTGCTTCCATCCGGTGCTAATACATGATTTTATTTCCATCAAGTTGACCTTTATGCGAAATCCGAGCAAGGTGCCCTCCACAAAGGGAGGTCGCATCCTGCAAAAAATAGACCTTTGAAACAAGACACACATTTCATGCACTTCCAGCAGGATCACAACAACAACAACAACAAACCTTACAAAAGCTGCACCATGCCCTTGTGAATAAAAAGGCTGCTGCACGTGGCCTGTTCATCACATAACTTGATATACAGAGATATCATAAAGCGGTTAATTCCTCACAATTTGTATTGTGCTCTTAATTTTGATGAATTCTTTCCTGCATGTGGGGAACAGCCTGTACATTAATTTAATTAAGGCAATGAGGCAAGTGTCAATTAGAGGGCGGTGGGAGGCGGCTTTTTGTGACAGGCCTGTCTTGTGAAGTAGCATAGGCGGATAAGTGCATACTTTAGACGTGGAGAGCAGCTCAGTGCTCTGCTTCCGAATAGTCGTTTATTAGAAGTGAAGGAATGTGTCACTTGATGAGCCACTGTCGCGGCGCAATTGATTGCGTTCAGGGACATTAACGCTAATGTGTTTGGCTTGCAGGCTGTGCGAGCCGTGCATGCTGGACCCCGGGTGTGGCTTCTGTTACCGGGAGAATGTGTCGGCGCTCCTCGCCTCCTCCTGTGTGCCTGTCAATAAGGCCTCCACCGAGCGAGCAGCATGGGGCAGGTGAGTCACAGGCAGCCGCGTCAGGGCTTGTTCAGGATGTAGCGGACTTTGGAAGGACGTCTCGGTAAAGAATTGACAATAAATGGGTCTTTTGGGTTTTGGTTCAATTTAAAATGATACCTTGAATTAATGTGGTGAGTTGTTAGCATTTAGTGTGTCTGCCTCTTCCAGGTGCTCCAACTCCAGCCTGATTAAAGATCGGACCTACTGGGCCTACAACTACTGTCCCACCTCCTACTCCTGGCTGGTCTTACTGGGTCTGGTCCTCTACCTGGCTGCTTTTGCTCCAGGTACATTTCCAGTGTCACTAAAATGAGGTTATCTTCACTTTGCTTTTTTGAAATTTAAAATCCATTATTTAGCAGAAATAAATGCCAAAATGGGAGCTTCTTTCATCTCCCCGTAAACAATAATTATGATCCACGAGATCCATTACGAGGCCGTTCCGTAACATTCACACGACGTTTTGAGGTGGAGGTTTCCCCGACGCCATGAAATTGCAAATGTCATGCTCAACCTCTCCACTGAGCCTCCGTTTCCTCATCATCTGTCTCAGGGATGGGCCCAATGCCGTGGACCATCAACTCAGAGATCTACCCTCTGTGGGCGAGGAGCACAGGCAACGCCTGTGCAGCCGGAGTCAACTGGACCTTCAACATCCTAGTGTCTCTCACCTTCCTACACCTGGCTCAGTACTTCACCTACTTTGGTTAGTGTTTGGGCTGCAAACACTCAATATTAGCTTTTTTGTGGGGGGTGGGGGGGGGGAGAAGTACTGTAGATGAAGTAGTGAATCTTGATTGTTGTTTTTTATAAATCCACTAAGCACGTCCTGTCAGAATCAACACCACCATCCATCATTGCTGTTGGTCCTCGTCCGATTCTGTCGTATCGAAACCTCATGCATGTCATACAGCCTTAAAGTATGTCAAAACCAGGAAGGCTGTAAGAGCTGATTGATTTTCTTCATCCATACCTCCTCATCAGGGTAGCTCAATAGCAGGTTTCTCCTCAGACAGGAAGGAACTGACCTTTTGTGGCGCTGGCGTTCGATCCATCAGGGTCGGCGGCAGAGGTATCCTGAGATCGGGTTAACTATTGGTCCCAGTTCCGGTTGATCAGAATTGTTAGCTGAGAAAGAAAAACCATTTGAAAGCTGAAAAAAACAACATTGCAATGGAAAGGGCAACAGTATGAAGGGCAATGGACTTTGAGATTTCATTTAACTGGAGAGAATAGAGATCAAAGCGGTCAGGAAACCTCATTAAACCGTGTCTCTGTATGAGCACGTTTTTACATATCTCTTTTTTTGACGGAAGACTGTTGTTGAACTCAATAAAACACTTTCATCTGTGAGCCCACCAACACACATATACTCGGAGGTTTGTGAGCAGTCAACATTCAATATTATCAGGATTAGCTGTAAACCAGTGTTTCTTTTCCTGCAGATGAATGATCAATGAAATATTTATAAGAATTCTCCAAAGCAGCGTTGGCGTGTTCCTGGTGTTGGTGGGTGGCTGTCCTTAGTAACGATGTGTTCTTTCATTTTTGCCTTCCCAGGAGCTTTCTTTCTCTACTCCAGCCTGTCTTTGCTGGGTTTCTTCTTCATCTACGGCTGCCTGCCAGAGACCAAGGGCCGCCGCCTTGAAGAGATCGAAGCGCTGTTCGGAAACAGGCTTTGCTCCTGCGGCGCTTCTGACTCGGACGAGGCAAGGCAGGTGGAATACATCCGAGTCAAAGGTTCCAACTACCATCTATCGGACAACGACGCGTCTGACGTGGACTAATGGGTAGGGCGGAAGTTTGGTTAGCTTGTGTGATTTACTTAAAACAATGCAGAGTGTAATGTAATATGTTCATCTTTTTTCTCTGTGTGAGCTGATGAGCCACTGGGCGGTTGATTACCACAGTTTTAAAGGCCTTTTGCCTGGGCAGGATGTGAGTGTGTTCACACCCTATTCAGTCAAACTGGTGACAAGTCAATGACGCGTTGGCCTGTTCTCTTAATTGGGGTGAACTAACGCAACATCTGGAGTCCCGCGTGCTTTTGTCGACAGCTAAATTTCGCACCATACAAATATCTATCGCCTTTTCCACACATCACAGACGTAGTTTCTCTTGAGGTGAAAACATGACGGTTGTATGTGCAAAATACAAAGGACATTCCTTTCTCAGGAAGTCCACCAATGACGATTTACTTTACAAAAATGGCTGCAGATTGGTATCCGTAGGATGTTCTTAATACTTCGAACAGTTGTTGCTTAAATATATAATTTATGATTTATATACAATCTTGTACGTACATAATAGAAAGTAAAACCCAGCCGTTTGGTCAGCAAACGTTTCCATCGAGGACTCCATTTAAAAAGTTACAGTAAATATGGTCTTGAACCCACAAACTGCAGTTGTGATACATTGTCGATTTGTAGTACCATAATGCCTTTCTATACGAAACACATCTCAGATACATGTTATTGAAGCGTGTAGCATAGCGCACTAATGTCACTTGCTCATCTGATGGCCGTCTTAGTTTGTGGAATATTTTTATGAAAAGCAAACACCAGAGATGTACAGTATATTATTTAGAAAACTGGTGGTAACAGTTGGTGCCTAAATAAACCCACTCTTCAATCTAGTAGCACTGCAAGGAATACACGTTATCTTTATGTAATATATGTTTATATTATTTAAACATTATTTTGTGCCAAAGTATCGCTCAAGAATTATATCCGTGTTTTGTCTTGCAATTCTGTTGCATACTTGCCTCTGTCGGCAAAACCCTTCACTTTGACCCCATGTTATGAACACGTAATGTGCAGCTAAGACTTGACTCATATCAAGACTTGACTTGTATTCTGAGTATTTCTTTCCATCCTTGACATGATAATAGTAGTGTCTGTGTAGTGTGAAGGTCCCTAATGGCCGTTTTTCAGTCCGAACCCCGAGTTGGACATTTTAAATCATGTTATAATAATTAGATCTACATAGCTTTTTTAAATTATTTGACATGTACATGTTTACATTTTTTACTATAATTTACCGTATTTTTGTCTTCCTCCATAGCCTTATGTACAAATAGCGGAGCATGTAATTTACGTGGTTCTCCTGTCAAGCGTCGAGGAGTTGGCTTTAGCGTGATTTGTTGTTTTGTAAAGATTGTATGAGGTTACACCTCGTTAGTCAGATACATTTCTGTGTTTGGGAGTAGACTACGGAGTAACGTTTTGTATTTAATCAAAACAGGTAAATAATGCATAAACAGGCTGCACTGTTACTGTGTCCAGTTAACTGGTACAGTTCCAGCATTTTTGACGCAGGGGTCCTTACCCATTATCTATTGATAAGATAAAATACCTCTTTTTAATAATGAACTTTTCAAATATGAAGCTGTTCATCAAATGCCGTGGCACAATGCAATGAAATTTTCAGTGACCCGAGAAAGTAGTTGGAGAGAAGTAGCGGATTTTAATTCAAAATGTGAAAGTATTGTTTTATGTTGGATTTTCACTTCAGCGAGGATGAGCTGTCTTTAAACAAGGCCAACTTGTTTTCTACTTGAAAGTATTATTACAGGTAAAAAAGACACAGATAGAGCTCCATAACAATGATTGTGTAATTATACTTGTGTTGACCAAAATATTTAACCTGATTGTTTCAGCTGTTGACATCCAGTTGTGTTACTACTGAGGTTGGGGACATTCGATGTGTACTTCCCGTGAAATGGTGGCAATTTATTTTCTATGTGAAACGACTATGTGTGTTTCTACGGGTTACGAGGAACAACAAAAATACCAATAAAAAATAAAAAAAAGAGTGTTGTATAGTATATTTGATTCTTGTTCAAGCTGTATATGTTTTGCTAGAGTTTATATTCTATATAAAAAAGTGGATATTCAATATGCATATGGAGACAGAAATAAACTTATGAATCAAGAGTACCGCTTTGGGAGCTTTATTTCACTGTGTCTCTTTCGTAACGCTTTGAACATTTTATGTTATTTGTGTGCTTAAAACAAACTAGGAAATGCTTTGAATAGAAATTTCAAAAGCAAAGAAAACATGCACTTAAAAGTAATGAAAAGGTTCCCGCTTATTTCCAACATTCATCTCCCTTTACTTTGCAACTTCCTTCCCCTGCTTTAGCAGGAGCAAAATGTCAGCTATTTCCTGAAGTGTGTCGGCATCCTCTGAGGGTCCGTCAGCCCCGGTGAAGGATGTGACCTCCTCCGTCGCTTCATTCGAGAGGCCTTTCGTCGGACGGCCATTTTTGTGTCGCCCCCTCTCATTTCTGACCTCTCTTGTCACCTTTTCTGAATCAGAAACAGAGTAGAACATCAAACTTCCTGTGTTCCTTCCTGTTATTTGTGAGAGGAATATTGAGAATTTAACAAATCAAGCACTTTTTGTTTTTTTAATTTACACCCAAAGTGGCACCCTCTTTCCCTGTCCTGTTATACCTCTGCCATCGCTCGTGCTCAGAGGATCAAGGAAGGGGTTTGTGGGTCTCTGCACGGTCACTCTGTCATCAGTGCATTTGTTTGTACAGCTGCTTCCTGACAGGGAACCAGCCCCAGATTGCTTCTTGGTCCAGGGCGTGTGCTTCTCTCCACTCCTGCACCTGTGTGAAGGTGGCGTGTGAGCCCTCGGCTTCGCAGCGGTGTCAGTTTGCCCCCCTGTGGCTGGATGCTGCACTGACACATCGACAGGTGGCTGGCAGGAGCTGAGGACGGCAGCTTCGACAACAACAACGCTGCACTGGGTTGAAGCGCTGCGCGTCTCGGACTCAGGGCGATCTGCGGTTTGAGTTTCTGCGTCTCGGGTTTTGTTGGCTGTTTTTTGGCATGCACACAGCTCGGATCTCGGAGTCTGAGCCAGAGCGGGCGGCGTGGCGAGCTGAAGTGTGTCGGTTCCCGTCTGTTGGCTGCTACTTCCTGAGGATTTAACTTGGAACACTACGGTCTCCTTAGCTTCCTGATTATCTCTAAAGTTCAGCAGGGGCCCGGGTTTGGTGGGCCTTTGTTTCGGATTCCCCTGTGAGCCGATGAATGTTTTCAGGGTATCTGCACAGAAGGGATGGTCCAAATTTGAGGCAGTAGCCTGAAGACGTGACTGACAGCCTTCTTCATCCTAAAATAGAGTTAAAAAGGGAAACACAGCAGTGTTTCGGAAATGAATGATATGACTATTTCTGACAGGTGTTGATTGGAGGACTGTTTGTCTGCTATTAAAGATGATGTGTTTGAAAGTAATGGCTGCAGTCGCCGGCCGAGTGATGACTCACTCTCACATACTGTATGATGTGTTGCAATATTTAAACTAGACTATAACGTGGCTTTGTTTATTGTATCCTGATGGTACTCTGCAGTCCATGTGCAACAGAGAGCAATATGGACGAAACTTCCAAGAGGAACTTAACTTACATCAGAGTCTGAACCGAAGTAACCTCGGCTACAAGAGTAGCTTGGCGAGCATTCACAGCCATTCAGGGGCCCGCTGTGCTCAAAACATGCTGGGGCGGGGGGGAAAAACACATCTATTCAATGTATTGTCTTTTCTCCGGCACATACACAATAAACGGGTAGCTTAATTGGAGATGCTTAGGAAACTTACAAAAGTTCTCGTCAGCGCAGTTGGAGAGCTGTGAATGAAATGGAATTAACATGTAAAACGGCAAGTACCCCCTTCACAATTACTCTTATATATTTCTCCATCAAGGCGGATGAACGGTTATGGTGAGAAACTCCTTACAACAACTCACAGTGAGGGCAGAACATGGTTGAAATTTTTACTTATTATTTTAATTCAGTGTTGGTTTTCACCGCAGTTCGAGACGCTACCACCAGGTGGCAAAGTGTTAATTCAACACACTCACACACACGTGATTGCTTCCTGCCACTTCCAGGGACTGTGTGTCAGGGACAGTCCTGAAAGGGAAGAGAAACAAAAGACGACATGAAAGAAAAAGCTACGCCATATGAACGATTTAAAGTAAGTTGTTTAAATGTGCTCTAACACGTACTGGGGTGTTGAAGATGGGGCTGGTGTTTCATCTGTGAGATATATCTTTGATGTTCCTCCCCTAAAAACAGGTGCTGAAATCAAAATATCCTGTTTAGCTCAACCTGATGGTCCCCCTTCGTAGGGTAAAAAGTTTCCCTCTGTACTCACCTTCTCTTCCACATTCTCGAAGACTGAAGCCCCTAAAGCCGTCCCCATCATACCGCTGCTCAGTTTCTGACTGGCTAAGGCCGAATTCCAAAATGGGCTGCTTGTCCTCTAATTGGTTGAAAGGGAAGGTGACCTGGTCTCTTGCTGGGTTCAAGCACTCTTTGTTTCTGTGAGAAAACACATGTGCGTTGGGTGCGTGCAAAATGACAGTGAGGAGATCATCAGTTCATTGAGTTCTAGTGTCATTCTCACTCTGGACTTTTAAAAATGACTCTGGCTGCTGTGGGGGTCTCCAGTTGGTAGAGGGATGGGTTTGATCCACAAGACCAGGGGGAACTGTCCGTCATACCTCTGGGCTGCGAGAACTACCGAAATAAAATATGTTTAGATAATACATTAGCATAGAAACACTCCCATTGTATTACCCATTCCTCATGGGAGCTTATTGTTAGCTCAAAGCCATCATTTCTATTGGCCAGGACCCAAAGACTTAGAAAGGTTGTGATGGCTGCAGACACAGAGAAGTCGATCCAGCCATCATCATTTCATTCATCCTAGATCATTCATATATTACAAATACATATTGATTGTTTTGCTGAATTATGCAATGATTTAGTGTTCTATATGCTAGAAAAATGCAGATAGTGAGGCTACTAAATGCCATGACTGGAATCACAGCTGCATATTTAAAAGTTTGGAAAACCTGGTGAAAATCTGGTGACATTTTATGTGTCAGTTTGCCCTCTGGCTTTACATGCTGTTTGCATTTGTAACCGAAGCACAATATAACTTTAAGGTTGAATGCAAAGTGGAATTTTTGTACGTTAAACAATGATAATTATACTTTACGCTCAAATCCATGATAACCGGTTTGACAATGCAACATGAAAAGGATTGGAAGCCTCTTTAGATTAGATTAGATTCAACTTTATTGTCATTGCACAGGGTGCAAGTACTGAGGCAACGAAATGCAGTTTAACATCCAACCAGAAGTGCAAAGTAGCAAAAAGTGCAGAGTATGTGCATATGTAAAGTGTAATAAGTGACTAAATAGATATGTACAGTAAGAAATAGTTGTGCAATATGAACAGTAAGAAATGGATATACAATAACAGTGCAAATGTTCAGTGGCTGGAGGAGGGTGTGTGGCAGTCAAGCCAGGGTGGAAGTACAGTCACTGAGGGAGATGTGTGTGTGTGTGGGGGGGACAGAGTTCAGAGTTCAGCTCTTGATATGGTCAAGCTTGTAAAGTTACATGGGAATTGTAATGTGCCCATGTATGTGTGCTTAATGTGATTATACTAATGCAATATAAACTAAACAAAAGGGGAAAACAAGCAAACTCCTCACAGAAGGCCCAAGTCGGCCAGTGTGATGAACCCAGAATCTCGTGAGATATCAGTGCTAACCACCACTGCGCATATTTTCTAAAGAAGTAAAAGTGCAATATGGATAAATGGAGTTACTAACCTGCCCACACTTGAGGGCTTGAGGAATAGCACACTTTCTTTTTCTCTGTCCTTGAGCACTAGACATTGAAACAGAATATACCAGACCACACAATGACTATTGGTAATTCATTCAATATTAATTCATAAGGTGATGGATAATGTTTGGGGTGCAAGATACTGGCTTTATATAGCTAAAAACTGCCTATTGGACCCTTAATTCACAGCACGTAGGAGTCAGCACTTGAATACAATGTTTTCAAGTCAGCAGCAAACACTTGTGAAAGAAAAACATGCAGTTTGGAAAGTGCATTTGATTAAAGGGAATGTTGTCAATATAAACCATGCTCTAGCTTTACCTATACTGAGGATCGCCCTCAGCAAGACTCAGCTGTGAGGGCGAGCAGGGGCTCATTGGGAGCACGAGGGGCCCATTTCTCTTCTGCTTGGGTCTTCCTTCACGGTCGCCAAAAAACGCTACTTTTGGAGGATCTGAAAATCATAAACATTAGTGACTGATATCATTTTTCACTAGCTTATAGACATGTTATTTGTTTGTTATAAAGACAGTATAAGGGATGGGGCTTTTTTCCCCCTTTCGTCTGGTTCAATTTTATTTTTTGTTACCTATAACCGTTGACTTGTAATAAAAATGTCTCGTTTGTGCATATCACCTGTACTTTCTTTCTTAGCAGCGATCTGGTTGACGATAAACAAGGACACCAGGTCCATACTACCGGAGCTCGTGCCTCGAGGGGATACTGGTGGAGCAAGTCCCAGGTTTTTCAACTTTTGTTGCATTTTTCTTCTTTCAAAGAAGTCCTGGGGGGAACGCACCGTCCGTTAACGTTGGCTGTAAGTATTCGAGGTTAAATATGATGTATTTTAAAAGGTCTTGCAATTAGCTCTCTCACCCTCTGCTTTTTTTCATTATTCTTCACCACAAACCGGTTTCTGCAATTAAAAACGTTAACACTGTTAACGTTAAATAGTTAAGCTAGCATGTAGCTACAGACCAACGTTAACATTAGCACGTCAACCTGACGACGTTAACCTAAATCCCCGTCCTCTCCTACCTTGAACCCCCAACCCAGTTCATTCCCCACGGATGTAAAGTTAACGCAACGGAAACCTCAGAGTGGCGACAAAGGCCTCAGGGCACATTAGCAACGTTACCGGGGAGTAGCAGAGGTTCACGTTAGTCACTAAGCTATTAACGTTACGTTACGTTAAAACAAGAGATGCGCGAGGAACCACGTACAAACTAACGTCAATATTCTTTCACGGGCCACTTAAAAGTAAAACAATGTAGAATAACCAACTCCCTCATTTTTTGTAACCACTTTTTGTAAAAGTGGGCAAAATGTTACTGCGTAAATATATAATAATATCAGCAGATATAAAATCCCTGTTTGACACGTATCATATTATAAAGTACAGTAGATGCAGACCCTTCGTCACGTCCATTGCGCAACCAATCGTCTTCTTGCACCGGGGGTGCGACCAATGAAAATAGAGTATGCAATCAAAGGCGGAAGTAAGAGCCACCGAGCCATCGTTTTACCTGAAAAAACTACAATAAATCCGGAAGCTGAGCAAGTTAACTTACAAAATAAAGCCACACATTGGATAGGTACGGCTGAAATATTCTCCTTTGGTTTGAGACCAAAGACCTTGAGTTTTACTTTGATAACTGTAACCGGAAGTGCACTAGTAGTCTGTTGTGCTTGACACTTTTACAGCAAAGAGCAGGATGTAGCGGTACATGTATCGGGCTTGCTTCGTATCAATCCAACCACCAGAACTCCGTCTCTCTATTCATGTCGACGCGGCGAGTCGTTTTTGGGGTATGGGCAGTGTGAGGACTGTCCACGGAGACGACTAACGTTTGAAAAATGTCCAACATTCTTGATGCGGCGTCCAAAATAAAATGGGACCGCGCGGCCGCTGCGAAGAGAGCCGTGTTTCTTGCAGCCGCTGCTTACGGTGTGAAAACACTGTACCCCGTCATCTGCAGGCGGCTCCGCAAAACTAAAGACACCGGGAGTGATCGTCGGGCTTCAAAGGCGGAGAACGGCTCCACTCTGTTGGTAAAAACACAGATATCTGCCGCAAGTCATAAGACGCCGTCGCCTGGGGTAAATGCGGAATTTTTCAAGCAGATCCTCGAACTCGGCAAGATCCTCTTCCCCAAGCTCGTGTCCAAAGAGCTCGGGTTGCTCTCCTTGCACTCGGTGGCGCTAATATCGAGGACGTTTCTGTCCATCTACGTGGCCAGCTTGGACGGAAAGATTGTCAAAACGATAGTGGAGAAGGAACCCAAGAGATTCATCTTCCAGCTGATGAAATGGCTCCTCATCGCCATCCCGGCCACCTTCGTCAACAGCGCCATCCGCTACCTGGAGTGCAAACTGGCCCTGGCCTTCCGCACCCGGCTGGTGAACCATGCCTACCGGACCTACTTCACCAATCAGACCTACTACAGAGTCAGCAACATGGACGGGAGGCTCGCCAACCCGGACCAGTCTCTCACCGAGGACGTGATGATGTTTTCTCAGTCGGTGGCCCACCTCTACTCCAACCTCACCAAGCCGATCCTGGACGTGGTGCTGACCTCCTACACGCTGATCCAGACCGCCCGGTCCAGGGGGGCCAACGCCAGCGGGCCGACCTTGCTGGCCGGCCTGGTGGTCTTCATCACGGCCAAGGTCCTGCGCGCCTGTTCGCCCAGATTTGGCAAGCTGGTGGCCGAGGAGGCTCAGCGGAAAGGCTTCCTGCGCTATGTCCACTCCAGGATCATCGCTAATGCAGAGGAGATCGCTTTCTACAGGGGACACAAGGTATGCAGGGCTGGACGCGATGGGGACAGCAAGGTCGGGTTAGCTGTGGCAGGCGTGCAGCGGTGTTACATGAATGGGTCTTTAACAGATAGATGGTGTGAATGAGTGTCATTACATTCATGCTCTTCTACATGGACATTTGTCTTATTACGTATTAGACAAATGGGACAATTACTTTTCTTCACCCTCCGTTCCAACCTTCGCACTTCCACATGTCAAATCTAGCTATAAACGTGAGATATGAGATTATCTTGATGCCGCACATCCAATAACAATGTTCATCCAGTCTCATAAAAGCTATACATGTAATTAAATCCGATTGACAATCTCACACACAAGCAGGCCAGTTGATTGGGACTTGAACTCAAAGTTCACATGTCAAACAGTGTTCCATCAGAGAAATGCAGGAGGTGACCGTGCTGCTTGCGCACTGTGATGTGATGTCCTTTTGCAGGTGGAGATGCGTCAGCTGCAGAAGTGCTATCGGGCTCTGGCAGAGCAGATGCACCTGATCCTGTCCAAGCGTCTCTGGTACATCATGGTCGAGCAGTTCCTCATGAAGTACGTGTGGAGCGCCTGCGGGCTCGTCATGGTGGCGGTGCCAATCATCACGGCTACCGGCTTCGCTGACAACAGTAAGGAGGCCTCAGGGAACCTTTTATGAAGTCGCCTGGGGAGCACACCCTTTATTTTGGGTTCATTCTGTGTCATTTTGGTGGAAGCACGTGTCACAGTTTACATGAGGGTAATTGGCATCTCCAAACGAAGCAGCGTCTGCCTCCTCCTCCAACATGCGCTGATATCCATGTGAGAACAGAAGCGGCTTCCCACACCTCCCTGGTGACATTGCAGTTCCACCAAAAATAAATATACAAATGAGTCCCTTGTGTTTGTTGATGTGCAAAAGTGCAGTGCTACAGTCCCTGTTTGCACCGCGGATATTCTGACAACTTATTTTGACGTCGTTCTCAGGCCATTAGCTGCACATGTCACAGTGTGTTTTATTGATGGGTTCAGTCATCTCAATCCCTCCACGGTCACCCCGTAGAAACAGCAGACGGGCGCACGCATGTGATGGTGAGCGAGAGGACGGAGGCTTTCACCACAGCCCGCAACCTCTTGGCCTCAGGCGCTGACGCCATTGAGAGGATCATGTCCTCCTACAAAGAGGTGAGTACGCGGCTTGTGTGTAACTTTTTTGTCGCGCAATGTGTCTTTTTTTCCTTTTTTTTTTTTTTTTTAGTTAACACAATGTGATCTCCTTCCTCCTGTGCTTCAGAGGAGTTCCCTCTTATCACTCTAAGGCACTTCAAAGCAACACTCTTTCAAATTCAAAGATACTTTTTGCAATTGCTCTTGATAGACTCTTAAGGGAGTCATGCAAAATGCAAACTTGCCAGTTGACTCCTTTTCAATGCAGACGTTGTAAAAATATAAAGGACCTTGCCCTCCCTTGAGGGTGTTGATAACTAACTTTACCAAAGTCTTTATCGTCGGTAAATTCTTTTGGCAGAAATGGCAAACCGCTGGTTGTGTCTTTAATGTTTTTAAATCTCTTAAGTTGCAGAGTTTAATCAGAACATTTTTAGTACTTAATTTCATTTTTAAGGCTACAGTTTTACATCACGGGAACAGATGTATGAGCACCGCCAGGTCGCTGCGTTTGCTCCGGGTTGAATTGAGAAGTGGTCCAAACAGATGTGTGGCCATGATGAATGGACAGCTTGGCTGAATGATTGACAGATGCGTACTGTACAGTCGCCTCTCTCTACTTTTCCTTGCGTGACGCTCACCCTGCATGCACTGGAATTTCTTGGAGTCCTCGCCGAAAAAGCTTAGAATCAATGAATGAAAGGCCTTGTTCATCGAGGTCCAAATCCCTGAACGCTCATCGCATTTTAATCCACCCCCCCCCAAAAAAACAAACAAACAAATAGCAAGATGCATGCATCATGCATTCTTTCTCTGTGGCTGCATTTTATGGTTCATAAGAGGATTTGGCTTCAGCACACTCATGCTGAAGCTGTGTTGCAGTGCAGCTGGTGTCATTTACCACTACTTCCCCCAAACGCGTGCACGCGCGCACACACACACACACACACACATGCACACCCACACATGCCCCATTTTACGCATCCCACAGAAGTCTCAAACTTCTACGGCGATCCTTTCGTCTCAGTAACGTGCCGATCGCTTGTAAAGCCGAAATGTAGCGACTGTCGTCTTACTGTAAGTCTCTGGCTCGAAGTACGTCGCTTGAGGATACAAGTTTTCGCCTGCTTTTCGGCTCCGGTCTGAGTGCGTGTTTAGAAGTGTTGCTGTCACATGTGCAGCTGCAAGCAAGCCTCTGCACGCAACGTCGAGAGAAGTGTGTGTATGCAATTTAACAGGCATTATGTAGGGAGCACACGCCTGCAGCGGTACGCCACGCACATGCCTTTGTCTGTTTAACAGGACGGTGTGGTGTGTTTGTTTTTTATTCCGTGCGTTGTTTGTGTGAGTGGTCAGATGGCTTTATGACATCCCAGTTTGGACTCGTTTGAACTCGGATTTCAGCTCAAGCCTTTTCTATTAATAATTAATAAACTATCTGTGATTATTTGTCGTTATCTTTTCTTTTCCTTTTTTCAGCGATAACAGTTCAATCAACAATTTTAAAGGGGGTCTCAAAATCCATTTATCCAGATATTTTGTACAGTTTACTCATTATTGTTAGACAAAACATTTTGTGTTTTCAGATGCTTCTCTGATATGTGTTACAACATGTAAACCATATCCAAGGCATCAATTGTTTAAGATTGAATCCTCCGCCCCCCTGTAGGTCAACCAGCAGAGCGTGTGTGCGTGTGCGTGTGCGTGTGCGTGTGCGTGTGTGTGTGTGTGTGTGTGTGTGTGTGTGTGTGTGTGTGCGCGTGAGTGAGAGAGAGAGATGTCCAGAGCTTCTTCCCTCCCTTTGGGGCTTAGCCTAGCTGTGAATAATCTTCCATCTGTTACTCTTTCAGCCTGCACTTCTGCATCTATTTCTCACTTTCCTTTGCAGCATGTGCTTAAATACTTTTTAGGTTAGATCTAGTCAGATGTTTTTGAATATGAATCCCAATCATTTGGGAGAAGGGCTGTCCAGCAATTACATAAGTTTATTCTGTTTTTGAATAAAAGTTTTGCTGTCGATGAAGTAGTGATGCCGAAGGATTCTTCTCTATCATTTTTAGTAATGGCTGATCTTGATAGAATACTTCAATAACACGGTAATGCTCCTTTAGTCATAATTATTTCCTTCACATATATATATATATATATATATATATACAGAAAAAACACTAGTCTCTTATGCGATCCCTTTTAGGACATGTTTTATTTGTGGTGGTTTGTCTTCCTTCTTCCATCTCTAAAGCCACACCTGGTGTCCAGAAATTCCCAGACTTGGTGTTTGTGGTTTCATGTAATCAAGCTGTGTCACCACCTGCATTGTCTCGCCGTGGGGCTGCAGCGCTGGATCTAAAGCCAGAGGAGGATTTTTCCCTCTTTGTTTTATTTTTCTCTCATCTGAGTTTCTTTGGTTGCTAATAAATAATCTTATGGGCTTATTTTCCTTCTATGCCCCAAAGCATTTGTGTTTATTTTGTGCTCGTGATGTGCTGACTTTACCATAGCCGTCTTAATGTAATTATATTTGGATGAATTCTGTTTTATCATTATTTGTTTAATTCTGAATATCCTTTTTTATCACTCGTTATGTACAGCAGGTTTTTAAACGGTTTGTGTTTGAATGTTAATGTACATGCTCACAAACACAGAAAAACTCACAACTCTAAGTTGTTATTTCAACTATTTATTGATTATTTCTGAACTCTTTGAGCTGTACAATTTTAGAATTTAGCTAACCATGTCAACTATACATTTTACTACTCTAAGTTAGCTATTGAATGAGACTGTGTCCAAACTGCTGACTGGCACTGCATATATTTTATTTTTTTCTGATTGCAATGACTATGAGTGGACTTATTCCACTTTTTCTCCACATAAATCCTGGTAAATGCAGATGTACCCCATGTCCATGAATAAGTACTTTAACACACTGAGTTTATCAGCCCGTGACCGTGACCTGTTTGATAACGCGGTCTTCTGCTCGGTTGCGTTCATGTTGCGCTGACTTTCCCTGGAGATGAACTTTGACCCCTTTGTGTTTGTTGCGACAGGTCACAGAGCTGGCAGGATACACCGCACGTGTCCACAACATGTTCGTGGTATTTGAGGACGTCCAGAAGGGAGTTTACAAGCGCTCCTCTGTGTCAACCACGACCGGAACAGAAAAGAAGAGCAAGCCTGAGATGCACATAGATGGACCACTGGAGATAAAGGGTAGGCCTGATCTGCCATATGCACAAACCCAAGCCTCCTTCCGTGTTAAAGTGTTGCTATGTTGGGCAAACAGCAGGAGGCCGCTAGTGGATTTGGTCGGTTAGTCACGTTGAAATGTTTGAACTTGAATAACCCCTTTCAGTTATTTTCAACCCATCCATCCACAGTTTTTACTTCAAAACCTCATATGGAAATTATTAAGCCAACACCAACTTTAGCAAAAAACAGTTTTAAGATTTTCTGCTTAAAGTTTAGTCAATAAGCCTTATCTGGGGCAATGTGCATAGACAGAATACATTGCTAGATCACCAGAGAGATGGTATTACACGCAATCCACAGTATTACGGTCAAGGGTTGGGAACATTTCACACTCATCCTTGTGTAAAAATCCATTTTTAACCTCATAACTCCTTCTAATCTCTTCCTTATCCAATGCTTATGGATCAACGGAGTCTAATCCTCAACTTCTGCTCTCATTCAACTTAAGTCTGTCTTCTCTCTTCAGGTGAAGTGATAGACGTGGACAACGGCATCGTGTGCGAGAATGTCCCAATTATCACACCGAATGGAGACGTAGTAGTGTCTTGCCTGAACGTTAAGGTAAAGCAGCTCCACTCTCTAATATCACCCGTTAATGTTTGCAGTTGCTGATTTTCACCTGTTTTCCAAACCGCACTCAACTCTCAGACTCCCCGAGGGTTGTTTTGGTCTACGAAGAGTTTATTACCATATGAACAGTCTTCTATGGTCTCATCGGGAAAAACAGATTCGCCATTTGGGTTTTAAAGATGTCTGGCTCCGCTCCCCTTTTGGCTGGGAGGACATTGTTGCTCCCAAAAACCCAGATCAGCGCTGACGAAAGAGGGAACTTTTCCTTTTGGAAAAATGATGTTGTCATAAAACCTAGAAAGAGTATTGCTCATGAGTTGCGGTACGGTCATGCTATCAGACCTCTGTCAAGGTTGTGAATGCTGGTTTGTAGTTTGTACAGGTGCTGACATTGAGCTGGTAGATAGCAGGGGAATCTGTTGAGTCTGTGCTAATGCCCACATGCTTTAGATTGTGTGTAAAGGTCGTACACCAGAGGTTCATGTACTCCCCCCTGTTACCTTCAGGCAAGCTAGAGGCATTTAGGGTACCTCCCAACAGTTTGATCTGACTTCGGCTTCAGAGACAGAACACATAACTACGATAAAGTGTGTTTTATCCGAGGAGACATCGCAGATGTCCTGTGTGTATGCTGTCAATCAACAGCTGCACGCTCACTGTTGCTTCCTATCTTTTTCAGGGTGTTTCATCTTCACGTTGTCTGAATGAAACTGTGGTTCTTCATTCCAGGTGGAAGAGGGCATGCATCTATTGATCACGGGGCCTAACGGCTGTGGAAAAAGCTCTCTGTTCAGGATCCTTAGCGGCTTGTGGCCGGTCTACGGCGGTCGCCTATACAAACCCTCTCCCCAACATTTGTTCTACATTCCTCAGAGGTATACACAGACACACAAACTGTAACAATGCTGTTTTTGTATTTTTATAAATATCATACAGCAGTGGGGTGTATTAAAACAACTGCAGGGCTTGTTGTACTGGTGAGCTCTGCTGGTAATGTAATCCATTGAAAACAGGCGTGCGTGCACGCTCTTGTGGGCGTGGCCAACAAAGAGACACCGGAGCTCTACTAATACTTTTAAATATTTACCAACCGGACACGGCTGGAACAACCTGCAGTTGGAGTCCTTTCTTTGTTGTATTTTTCTCTGCATTGTGGTCATCTGCCATTAAGTTGAGCATCATCACGGCACCAGAATCTGCCATGTGTCCCCACTGTGCATCTCATGCTCCAGTAATTTAATTTGAATTGTTGTTGTTTTTTTAGGAATAAATGAGTACTTGATATTTCAGGAATCAGAATGTTAATTACCACCTATTTATGAATGAATTCATCTTTTGAGTTATTTCTTAGCAAGTGACAAAACATACAACTACTCTCTGCTTTTAAAGTTTGGGGCGTTTCTGCGCTTCTCTTCCTATACAATAAAATGCACATTACCTTTTGGGTCTTTTTGTTGGACAAGATTAGCTACTTGAACATTTCACCGTGGCACTAACACATTTTGGATAAAAAAAATAAAAAAAAAATCCGCCAATATTTGTGCGAAGCCATAACAAACAGACGTAACATGTATTGACGGCACATTAGAATCAGCTATAAATCATCCATTAAGGTGGCAGGAGGACTGAACTGGATGGGTTCAAATGTAATCTCACCCACGGTTGCTTTGAGTTGCGGTGAATATTTTATAAACAGCGTTAGATAGGCACATGGCAGCTGTAATATATATACAGCAACAGCCATAGGTGTATTCTTCTTCTCTCAGTTCTTGTTCCTAAACATATGCACCTTTGTGTGTACACACACACACACACACATTTTGTGGGCTGTGTGGAGCACTTACTTAGTTTTGTGTGTTTCTCCAGGCCGTACATGTCCATGGGTTCCCTTCGAGACCAGGTGATCTACCCAGACTCGGTGGAGGACATGGCTGCCAGAGGCCTCAGTGACAAGGACCTGGACATTATCTTGGACATAGTCAACCTCTACCAAATTGTCACCCGAGAAGGAGGTAGGACCCTACTGTAGACACGTTAAGAGTTCTTTTTTCAGTGAAAAGAAGAAGAAGATTGGAGAATTTAGAACAACAAAAATTACATTACATTACAGGTCATTTAGCAGACGCTTTTATCCAAAGCGACTTACATTACACTTTGAACCCATGGCTTTTTCACATTTTTGCCTGGGGAGCAATTAGGGGTTAGGTGTCTTGCTCAGGGACACTTCGACATGAAACATGGGGCAGCCTGGACTCGAACCACCAACCTTGTGCTTCCCAGGACACCTTCTCTAACCCCTGCGCCACGATGACACGAAAAATAGCTTCGCTAACACCTCCTAGTGAAAAATGAACCATGTAACCATCAGACAACGTTAAAAATTCAGCCCGACCTAATAAACCAGTAACCCGACAAATCTATTAGACAAATTAAATTGAGTTGTATAATTTAATTTAATTTATTAATTTATTTTGCAGGGACAATGCACACCAATCAGCAGTTGTACTGTAAATGAGCCAGAGAGGCTCATTTCCTGGCCCCATGTCTTTAAAATAAAAAAATGACTTGTGGTCAGGTTTTGTCTCCTCTTTCCAGTGTTATTTTGACATATACATTTTTGAAAGGCTTGGAAAATCTCCCACAGCGGCTTAATTGGTGTTTTTGAAATGAGACGTTACCAGTGTAACGCCTGGGTATTCCTTACACGTAGGTTTGCCTACACTTGAGTGTGTGCAACTAAACAAACGAGCCTATTGTTGTGAGCCAAAAACTCTATGAAGCCCAGAGCTGTGAACAGGACTTAATGTCTGAATGGCTGCACTTGTTGCGAAAAATCTTGATTGCGCATGAAATTACAACTGCAAAAAATGTCCTGTTAAGCCTTTGGACATTTACTGAAAGTTGTTTGCACATAGACTGGTTAAACCCTTCAAAGAAAACACCATGCCTCTCTTGCCGTTCCTCTCCTTTGTAATGACTGTTGGTTTGACGGCGTTATAGAAACAGTCTGTTCAACCTGTCTGTTTACATTTCAATCGCCCAATGTCATTACACCAAATGTATTTTTGATATGCTCTGTATGTAAACTATGTAATGCATTTCAGAGTTTCCAAGGTTGGGCAATGTCTTTCTTTTGCGTGCAGGCTGGGACGCCGAGATGGACTGGAAGGACGTGCTGTCAGGAGGCGAGAAGCAGAGGATGGGCATGGCTCGCATGTTCTACCACAAGTAAGCCCCTCTTTTTCCGTCACTGCGGACAGTTTCCCCTCTTTGGCATTCTAGCCTCAGCTGCACACACGGTGTTTACTTTCTAGTCCCAGCGAATGTTCGCATGCTAACACGCAAAACCAAGAAGGTGATGTTGGTGAACATCACACTCGCTGAATACAAGAGCACGCAGCCATGCTGGCAGCTGGTAGCATTTAGCCCGAGGCCCACGCGTGATATAGCATACAGCGGGCGCGGTTAGCGACTTAAAAATTGAGCGGACTGTTTTTCATGCCTGACCGTGGCGCATTTATCAAAGCCATTATGTCAGCCTTTAATCAACAGTGGTTCATTTTCTAACTTGCATTTTAGCTAAATAACAGTCAGTCACTGGGATCCCTCACTGTGCTCACCAGGCCCAAATATGCGCTGTTGGATGAGTGCACCAGCGCTGTGAGCATTGACGTGGAGGGGAAGATTTTCCAGGCTGCTAAGGACGCCGGCATCTCTCTGCTCTCCATCACACACAGACCTTCCCTGTGGTAAGATGATTTTTTTCACTACCTTCAACAAAAGCGAAAATGTAAAGTTGTAAGCGCTTTGTAAAATGGCGTTTAAACGCAACACGTTGCAAACCCTTCCTGCTCTCCTTCCAGGAAGTACCACACCCACCTGCTCCAGTTCGACGGGGAGGGAGGCTGGCGCTTCGAGCAGCTGGACACGGCGACGCGTCTCTCCCTGACCGAGGAGAAGCAGCGGCTGGAAACCCAGCTGGCCGGCATTCCCGAGATGCAGCATCGCCTCAACGAGCTCTGCAAGATCCTGGGGGACGACTCTGTCCTCAAGACAGACGAGGAGTGAATGGATTGGAAGGGGAGGGGAGGCCGAAAGGGGGAAGAGAAGAAAGGGTGAGACGCAAAGAGGCCATGAAAGAATCAGAAAGCTGTCAGGGTTTGATGTTTTTTTTATATCTTCAGGCTGGTTTCTTTTGTTTCTTTGGTTAAAGCAGCGGAGCTCTTAAAGCCAGTCTTTCAACCCTCCTTCCCTCCACTCCACCTAGTTTTAATCCCTCCTTTTGTCCTTCTCCAACAGGAGCAGTGGAGGGAGGCCAGTGAAGTGGAATCAAAGTATTATCCCTAATTCTTACGCACATCAGGCGCATACTCGGTTGTAGATTTCTTTTTTTTTTTAAATGTGCTTTTAGCGCATGTCATTTTCAATAACATGGCAAAAATGAATACAAAACAAAAGCAACCGAGATAATTTATTTGTTTATTTTATTGCACTTTAATCTGATTTTAAAAGCCCTGTTTCCGTTTGTGGTGCTAGCTCACAGGGAAAGAAGATGATAGCTGTGTTCTGCTGGAAAACTTTTAATGTAGAAAAAATATCAATGTCCGCAGCAGTATTCCACACCCGGTATACTGGGTTGTGCAAGATCCACATTTTGTTATAATTCAGCAGTTGATTTTAGTTTTTACTTAACTCAATGTTGCCTCTTTAGTTATTTTTTTTGTTGATTTTGTGTTTCTGGTCGCAGTACAATTCATCTTTTTAATACCTCATCTTAGCCCTTGCTAGGACCCAGAACCACAGATGTGGCGCCCCCCTCACTCAAGTTGTAAACCGTGAGGAAACACTGACCTTATTCGAAACCGACAAAGAAAAGCGAGCCCACCGAGGGTCCATTATTAGAGCGATTAGTTATGCAACTCCAGAACTATACTACTGCTTTCTGGTTTGTGGAGCAAACACAATTAGCATCCGAGCCCGGTAGCCTGGTCTATAAATAGTCCCACACATACTGTACATGGATGAACAGGTAGCCATTTAGATGATAGAACTGGCGGATACGCGTAGACCCATCAACCACCTGCAGCCCCCCCTCCCCCCTCCCCACGCTGCATGCCAGATGCCTGCTTTGTCTGTGGGGCTCAGTGGGTCCTGTTCTGCCGGTTGGGATGCGCATTCTGGCAGGATTCTACAAAACAATGGGCCAAGACATTATGCTAATCTACTCCAGGGACACTTCCTAAAAGTTTGAAGGAATACTCAACGTCTGCATTTCTCAAGTGGGTCAGCTTTTAAACTGGTGAAGTGTATTGATCTCCTCGTGTCATTATGTTAAGGTATATGAGGCCACACTGGGTTTTTACGTCATTAGTTTATTGAAACATGGGGCTAATATTTAGTAGTAGTACAGTTTTCATATTCAGCACCTTGATTGTCTCACAATTGGTGACGGCATGAATCTTTGGCTACGTGCAGGAACTACAGTGGTTCGATTGGTTTTCCTAGTTTAGCCCACGTGTTTGTTACCGGCAACTCGTCCAAAGTTTTGATACTGTGAAATCTGCGATTTGTTGTGGTGGTTCCTGTCGTGGTTGTGACTGCTCTCCCAGTCTGTAAATGTCTTGGTTTGGACTTGTGCCGGTGCTCGCTGTGTCCCGCAGAAAGAGTCCAAGGAAATGTAAATGAGGCAGTTTTCTTTTCTGATGAAAATGTTTGGTTTGTGGAGCGATCTTTGTATTTTAAAAGCAAAAAGCACCTAAAATAATTGCACTTCCCTCCTTCATGACACTCTCATTAAATGACAGCAATTCAATTTGCGAGAGCGCTTTTGGAACATGTACCTTGCTAATACCTGAATGTACTTGCAGGACACAATCCATGTCACTCTCTTATATCAAATCATCTATTTTGTTATTATGCCTCTGTGGTTAATGCGCCACCGTAACTGTGCACGCAGAGAACAGACAATCAATCACATGAGCAGCACAGTACGAACTCACGCAAAGCGCCACCTCAAACCACACCTTCCGGCTTGTTGTTGTGTGCACAAAAATAGGTAAATGAGTACCGGTTTTAGGGTAATGCACCTGCGTCAACTGCCTTGTTGTGGAACTCATAATGTAAACAGTCGACTTCGTCTCCCTCCGGCCTTTTTCTAGTGCAACATCTTTTCCCCCGTAGAGGCCTTTTGCTACCAACCCCCCTTTTTGGCTTTTAGTGTACGGTTGGGAGAAAAAGGACTCAAGTCCATTTTGCAGCCCTGCTCCGCTCAGGAAGTTGGCTCTTTGGTTACAGAAGGACAAATGTAACCCCCCCCCCCCCCACCCTCACCGAAATGTGAGTACACTATTGATTAATGTTATTTTAATCTGGATGGCTTTGACTTGCCGAGCAAGAAAGAAAATCACACCGGCAGGCCTTTTGGAAATCTACGTCTTCCGCGCGGGTCCGACTCTGTTGACAGGAGGCCAGACAAGCCGCCGAATGACACACGAGTCTGTCACTGGAACGCAAGGTCAGCCGGTGTGTGGCATCCGTAGGCAAGGCGGTAGCTTTATAAGTAAGAAATACTTTTAGGTTGTCTTTCAAAGGACGGGATAAGAAACAACGAGGTGCCATTTTCCAAACATGCTTCATGCTTTGCAATAACTTTCCGAAAGTGGGAGTATTTATATATATTTTTTCCTGGTTCGATTTGGTTAATGACCCTTTAGGTGCTATCTTGTTTCTGCTGCCACAATAGCTTTTGCTAGTACAATATTTGAATAGCTACTAACTTCAAGATAAACAAATGTCTATTGATTTTATCTTTAAACATGGCACCTCGTCATTTCTCCCCCCATTCAGAAACCAGTGAGGTTTGGCCTCTAGTGGCTGGCTGCGCTGCATGACCCTGCTGTATACTGTTAATACTGAGACAACTTTGATATTGAAAGGTTCCCCTCATAGATTCCCTTTTGTAAGTAATCAATCGAATGTATCCATCATGTATGATAAAACATCTCTTATGACGGTTATGAAAACAATGAATTCATGTGATCAGGTCATACAGGTTCCCTTCTGGTTTGATAATCGATCATTTTATAATTGTGTTGAGCTGTGGATGTGACATTATTTTATCAGCGCAACCTGGTGGGTGTTTGACTGGGGATTTACTGTACATGTGGACTGTGAAATAAAGAATGTTCGTGTAGGACAGAACAACAGAACCACACGTAGGTGTCAACGCCAGGGACTTTGTAATCACATCAGAATTACAGTTTGCAATCAAGACTCCCAGACATAACTAATTATTTTTAACTTCTTAAACTTCCTTTATATGGATCTCATTATGCATGTGTAGGAAACTGTATTCTTTAACCTTAGAACCAGGAGAGGTACATCGGCAAAAAGGTAATCTGTATAAAATATTCATGTGCTACGGTCACTTTATGTTGAAAGATGAAGATGTATTTTCTTGTTAATAAAAACAATACAGTACAACTTTAAAAAAAGAAATGGACCTTGTGCATTAGTTCACCATCACTTTCTGGTACAGAATTTACAACATATTAACTTTCAGTGCCCTCAAATAAACAATAAAGTGCATAGCTACAGGTTTTTATCACATCTGAATGTTTAACTTGATTTGATAATGTCAAGTTATTTTCAGCCCAAGTATGCGGTTTGTGTGCTAGTACAACTCTGTTTACTCTGCATTGGAGAGCTGATGCAAACTTCAGAATAAACGTGTTAAACAGCAGCAAAATAATACTGTCAAAGCAAGATTTGTGCCATTTTTTTTACACTGCACACAAATAGTATTTAGCATGAGGTTGTGCCATAGCAAGTGAGTAAGTGAAGCCATCTGCTGGTGAACAAGGAACATGACCGCTGTGAGCTCTACCAGTGCAATAACAGACGTCAACCACAAGATGGCTGCAACCCTCGTTTATTGGCGAACAGCTCCAGCGCGTCATCTCTTAATTTGAATTTGAAATATTAGAAACTGTAATGGATTATCGTACATGCTAGTTCATGCTTTTTTTATGGCTCCAATCTTATAAGATGTATTCATGGATTGGACACAAAAGTACAGGCTGCATGTCCATTAAATATCTGATGTGAAATAAAAACGGAGTCAGTTGATTAACGAATAAAACAAAAAAGAAATTCACAAAGCAGAGAGCTGACACAATTACTGGGTAAATTCGATTAGAAAAAAAATAAAAATGTTCCATACAGAAAAATGATATTATCCACCCTTAAAAATGACTGTAATTATATATGTTTTATTCTATTGTCTTTTCTATAGAGTTGTAGGTCAGGTTGCTTCCCCCCCTCATTGGATTGGTACAGCTCAGAAGGAGGAGGAGGAGTTTTGGTTTCGTTCTCCGTCTCGAGAGACTGACGCCAAGTGGAACCCACTCTCACACACACACACACACACACACCATTCACCGACCTCTGCTCCGGCTGAGCGGCAGAGACGATGCCTCTGGAGAGGTGACCGCCGGCGGAATCTGAAGCAATGACGGAAAAGCCCGAACAACCGGAGCGATAGCTGCTGCATCTCCTAAAACATGGCGAGGAGGAGCCGCCGGTGAGAGCCGCACAGGGGAGCTCGAGGAGAGAATTCGCTGTCCCGGGGAGGAAGGACCGACAAGGCTCTTCTTGTCTCGTAAGAGGATAACGAAGGGAGAAAAGGGGTGGGGGGGGGAGGAATCGAGCTATTTATTCGCGGACCTGTCGGAACATCCACCCGCGACAGCATGAGCGGCGGCGGGCCGGATGAGAGCTCGGTGCGCGTCGCCCTGAGGTAAGGATGCAGCGGCGGACCTTCCTCCTTCCACAGATGCTCACACCTGCCACACAGTCGCGCACGTGTCGCCCCTGCTTTTATTCCGGCCTCACGGTCCATCGTTCATTCAGCTCGGACTAGTGCATCCATCCTTGGTCTTCCTTTAGCCCACCCTCGACCCCCCACAAGAAAACCCCGCAATCTTTCAAACATGCTTTTATTTTGAAACCGCGTGTTCGCTGTGCTCCACACGCGTGCATTTAAACGCTCTTGCTCTGCATGTGCGCTGCACATAAGGACCAGTGGCCCATGATTACATGAGCTTCGTTTGTTAATACCTGCACTGCACGTGTAGTGGATTTATGAATGAGGAGCTCAAGTCTGAAGGATTACACCGAGGGAAAGCATGCCACTCTCCCCCCTGACCGTGTGTCACCTGCACGCACAACTTCTTTTTGTTCTATGGAGAACAATTCCTAGCAGCCACCTTCTGGTTAATGAAAGGCACATGTGCTGACTGAACTTTGGCTTGATGACTGCATCTGATCTTATTGGTTTTCTGGTGTTTTATGTGTGTTGACTTTCAGGCAGGTTGACCCTTGACCCCCTTGGCCTATCCGTGCTGATAGATAAAGCTAGACGCCGTCTGCCTACCGCCCTTATCGGGGTTTCTCAGAAGAGTTTAGACTTCAGACGCCAATAGAGCGACGTTATAGGACGGCAGCTAAACCCAGGTGCTTTTTTTGTGTGTCCGAATTGTGTGTGTCTGCGGGTAAGACAACCTGCAACGTCCTGTGAACTGGATCAGAGGGAGAGAGAGGACAAAAGCGTTCACATATCGCGTTTCTCTTCCCTCCCTCTGCCCCGGCTTGTTGTTGTGCATTGAGACTTTGACTCGGGTGTTTACGGGTGTCTGTCAGCCACACGTGATATACGACGGCCGTCACTACATCCCATCATGCACTCGTCTGACAGGTTCTTGTGAACAGCAGTTAATTTGTCTTGCCTCCTTCATAAGTCAAGTTGCTTTCCTGGTTTGCTGTAGAAAGGTTTTTCGAATGGAAACGACCTCCTCTTGTATCGTCTTAGAACGCTTCATCCATTATTTGTAGTGGTTGGGTTTCACCTTTTAGTTCCATTGGCAATTAATCCTGTATGCACTGGCTTTTTCTTTCGTATATTTCCACTTCCTTCCTCTATTATCCCCTTTACTGATTTATTTGAAAGGAATTTGTTATTGAGTCAGTCATTTTGAGCTTGATACTACAGATATATAATCAATACTTTGGATCTTTTGCTCTTGAGTCAGGGTCCGATCAGAGGTTGAGTCAGCAGTTCGGAGCAGCTGTGGCACCTGAAAGTGCTTTGTCACCCCTCACACACATACACACACAATGGGATCCACTTCCTGCCACCGAGACCTTACCCACAAGCCCACAAAGAGCCCCCTCATCTCCCTGTGCAGGGTGTGCCTTATTTGCATGGGCGCAGAGGGTTTCCGCAGCAAACATGTGGGGGGTGGAGCTCATCACGTCATGGCCCATGACATTTCCACTCAGGTGGCCCAGAAGGCCACACCTGGGAGACCAGCACATGCAGTAAATGCCAAGAGCAAGTGCACGATGTGCAGAATTCACAATGCCAAAGTCCCAGAGAATCTGAATGACCAGACCAGTCGCGTTGTCAAAGAAACGTCTCTGATTAACCCGCCAACGTCCCAGCAAAGTTACCGCTGCAGAGCCGGATGCCTCCATCAGGAGTCGGTGGAGGCCTTCGTACCAGAAACATGACTACTAACTCATGACGTTAGCTACCGCTACTTTATGCGACGCCAAGGTCAATGTAGCGTTAACATCCCGACCTGACATCATGTAAAGGCCCCTGGACTCGATCCGACTTGCATGATAGAAATATTTGTGCACACAATCACACATGTTTCGTTCTGCTGAGCACCGATTAATATCAAGCCAACAGAAACGGCAGCTTATCGTCTGCTGTTAAATCAACGATTCGGCCTCTTTTGAACATCAGACGGCCTCTTGGCGTTGGTGTTGTTCAGCTTGATTAATCGCCGTGGCAATATTGTAATTATTTGGAGCACGTGGGGAACCTGAACTTGAGAGCATCTAAACGGCTCTGTAATGATGTGTGTGTGTGTATATTTTTGCGGTAATCGTCTTGCATGTTGCCAACCAGTACCTGCCTCAGCCTGTGAGGCTTCTGCCGTCTGTTAGCAAGTTCCTAATCCCTCCTCCCAACACGTCCACAGCCATCAAATGCGTTTACATCCTTTTTCTTTTCGTTTGTTTTTTTTAGGCAGAAGAAGAATAAAATGGGATCTGGGCCTTGAACAGAAGGCAGGTATTTTCTAGGACTTATTCTTTGGCATTTTGGTTTGTGTCTGGAAAGATGATGTAACTTAAGAGTCTATTTGCTCTTTTAGAAGTGTACTTGCCTCTTGATGGGTCATCTGCGGGGTTATTAGACGTTTGTGCTGCGCTGGCGTCTGTGGTTTTGACGATTAACACGCCTGACAGCCTACAGATGGGTCACGTCAGTGGCACGTAGTTGGATGGTTCAGCAAGCACAGACACACGCATTGTTTTCAGTTTATACCCCCGTGTGAACGTGTTCCAGATCTCTTTCCTTATGTAACATCCCATCCGTGTGCACGCGTTTGCATATGTTCACCTCGTCCCACACTCGATACAGGAAGTTAAACATTTTACCAGGATGTAAGTCGTGTTGCAGGCTTTTCCCAAAGGAGCCACCAGAGTGACTTATTAGTACCAATGTCAATGTCCTTAAAGCACAGCTTTAATTATTCACTCAAGTTAAGCGATGAGGATTCAGGTTTCGTACGGCTAAATTCGGAAACTGATAGCCCTTTCATCTTTGATTGGATGCGTACACCTCCGCATCGTATAACGTGGTTAGTGAATGTGGAAAAATGCAAACTAGATGTAGTCATCAATTTTACATACAGACTCTGCAACTTCTATTGGCTCGTCTCAGGTTCCATCAGACACAAGTCCCACCTTCCTGACCTTTGGAATTACTTTGAGGGCAAAGGGTGTGTGTGTGTGTGTGTGTGTGTGTGTGTGTGTGTGTGTGTGTGTGTGTGTGTGTGTGTGTGTGTGTGTGTGTGTGTGTGCACACTCATAAACCGTTCAAGCATATCCGTGATAAATATTCATGAACCAACTCGAGTGAACTGAGACACAAAAGCAAAGCATGCTGCAAGCCATCTGCCAGCTGCGGTCATGTGATATTGCTTACTGAGTTATTCAATAACTTCTGTCCCACTAGGGAAAGCTTAATTAAATATGGATTTTTTTTGTTTTTTACAAATACAATGATTGTATTGTAATTAGTTGAGTGGATTTTAAAACCTTCCTACCATTTTGCAAAACACATTTTTGGCGTCCTCCGCTTCTCTGCTATCCTCACACGCCCTCTCCCGACACCCCTCCTCTTGTGCCACTGTCAACCTCTCCCGCTTTCCTGCCCGGCAACCTTTGACCCAGGAAGCAGTATGAGCTGTGACTAGTGACCCAGTCACAATTCCCCTATGGCAGCTTGTTTCAGCTGTCACCATGGTAACCGCTGGTCCCTTTCAAGGTTTTGGGGTGTGCGGCGACGGCCCTGTGAAAGGCCACCGCTCAGTCTGCCATGTAGACAGGAGAAGGGAACCCTGAGTCAGCAGAACACTCTTTTGACGTTTCTCTATTTTTCCTGGCCTCGTTCCCGAAACGCCCTCCGGGGCATCACTGCCTATAGCTGTTGTTCAAACTGGAGATTCAAGGTCTTTGGCACACGTCTTCATCACTTCCTGTTAGCTGGTGTGAGTTTTCTCGCCAACCGGATGAGGAACCCCGTAACACTGGTCAGAAATGAATGGAATCTCACTGCCGGAACAGCACACCGCCGTATTGGTTGGCGCAATAAAAAAGAAGCGCTGCAGTGATGCAGGTGTCCCTTTTCCACGTTCGATAAATAAATCATACATGTATTAATTCTGATTAGGTTAGAGTGATATTGTAGTAACCCGAGAAGAGCAAGAAGTCAAATGGTGATTTGCAGTTTTGTGTTGATGGTTTTCAGTTTGTGCTAAAACTGTATGAACTATTAATAATGTAGTAGTCTGGCTGAGCATTCGGTCCAAGCGCCGCAATAGATAATGTTGCAAAATTCATTTTTAATCTTCTCCACGACTCTCACCCTCTCATCTGCGCGGACAAGATGCGCCCGTCGCCGTGCTTCTAAATCTTGCACATTTCCGGGCAGAGTTTGGTTGTCTTCAGCCGCTTTACAGGTGGAGAGCTCGGTACTTACAGAGGCACACTGAAGAGAGCGATGCAATGGCTCGGCTCGTGAAGTCGAGAGCAGCTGCCAGACAATGGGGAAGACTGTCCTGCTGAGCTGCAGCGAGGTACAACGGCAGTCTCTCAGTTATTCGTTCCCCGAGTGCTTTGGCTTTTATCAACAGCCTCCTCTGAGTTCTGTGTCTCCTCACTGGTCCTCTTTGCTCTGAGCGGCCATTAGACGGAAGTCAACAGACAAATAGAAATGTATAAAAGTGCACCTGCTGCACGATGTGCTATAAAAGAACCCTTTGCCATAAAAGAGCTCTGTTTGTACAGAGGCATTTGGTTGTATAATGATGACATGACGGTGTACCCAAAGGCAGTTCAACTAGAGTGAAGGTTTCCCGAGTCCTTTCACGACTAACGGAAAGATGTGTGTGTGTGTGTGTGTCTGTGTTTTGTGTGCGCAGTGCGCTTGTATCTTAATCAAAGCAGTCGCATACTTTCTTAAGCTGAAACACAAGGCTGAGAACCCCACAAAATGTCACATTTCAGTTCGAACAACTCGGGCCAATTTGAGTCTTAATGCTTAATCTTAAAACTATATAGATATATGTTATTATTCTAAAAATATATATTAATATGAAAATATCCACATGTCAATGATTATATGTTTTGTATGAATAATATGATTATCAATTGAATTAAGTGCTAAATTAGGCCAGTGACTTTGTGGATGACTCAGACTGACTTGACATGAAGCAAATCTGGAATTTAAAAGGAAAATGTCCCAAAATATGTGACTAAACAATATGAGGTCATGGGATGGAGTCTGCATGCCGCGAGCAGGAAGTGCTGTTGTTGTCTGTTGCCTTGTGGACGCCCGGTTTCTGCTGAATCACTCGGCGTTTGCCCTTCAACACTAAACCAAAAACCAGATTACACAGGATTAGATTCGGTCGGTGGGAACGAATGAAACGTCACGCTTGGTTGTTGCCAGTGATGATGCAGACGAGGGATCGGCCGCATCCCCCACGGAGCGATTTGATTGGCTGATTGTCCGAAGCAGTGATGTCAGCTGTCAATTTCGATGGCCTGTGTCTCAGGAAGCATGAGATCAGCAGCACGTTGCCGACTGACTCCGCTCTCTATTTCTTTTTTTTTTTTTTCCACATCTTCTTATGTCTTGTTTGTTGTTCATTACTGTGCGTCAGCAGAGGGGTGTTATTACCTCCTTTCCTGTTGTGTGTCTCTCCTTATTACCAGAATAAGGATCCAAGATGATCCGAGACATTGGCCTTGTATATGTTGTTGTGTTAAATGAATGAAATTCTGAAAATAGCGGAATTTTTTTGTTTTTATCAGTGTGACTCCCCTCCTAAGTTTCACAGTAAAACCAATGCTAGTGCGTTTGGTGTGTGGGTGTGTGTCCGTGTGTGTGTGCGTATGTGTGCGCGTACGAGGAGGCCACAGTTTCTCAGGCTGACGCTGTAATCGCTGTAATGAGGCCGAGAGCAGGAGCCTAACGGGGCCCGTCACATGGGGAGAGGCTGACAAAGGCCCCGTGTGTGTGTGTGTGTGTGTGTGTGTGTGTGTGTGTCTGTACAGTAATATTGTGTGTGAATAATATGTGTACGTGGACTATTCTGCTTGTGTGAGTGTGCTTTCCCCTTTCATCTCTTCTGTGAACTGTGTCACATCACTCTAAGCTCCTCACGTCCGTCAATGAAAGTCCCCATCCCTCACTGAACTGTGCAAAAGAGCCGCTCAGTTTGCCTTTTATATCTGCAGGGGTCACAATAACACTCCGACATGCTCGTTGTTTTGGGTTCTGTATGAAATAAGTAAACTACAAAGCAACCTTTTTTCCAAATATGCGCCTCTGGTCACGAGCTAACAAAGTACATTACATTACAGCTCATTTAGCTGACGCTTTTATCCAAAGCAACTGATATTGCATTTATTACCCATCGCTTTTTACATTTTAGCCCGGGGAGCAATTAGGAGTAAGGTGTCTTGCTCAGGGACCTTTCGACTTGGGACATGGGGCAGCCGGGACTCCAACCACCAACGGAAGTACAATTTAAAACGTAAACGTGCTTCAATCAATCACATTTTCTGCAAAATGGCGTGCACCGAGTGCTCGTAACGGTCAAAACGTTGCGCGGTGAACCCTCAACAGTGCACGTTGGACAGACCGCTGGGACAGTGTCAAAATATTGACGAGACAGGGAATGTGCGCGGAGACAAAGACGTCCAAATGTGCACTACTTAAGTAGTTGTGTTACCTTAAGTGTGTGTTTTTGTGCTCCTCCTGGGAATGTGCATTTACTTCAGAGATCAAGCAACACAATTCTTTATGTTGTAATGCAAAGTGCGTACTGGCAATACTTCTTTTTGTAAAAGCATCTCTTTGTATTTTTCTTCACAACATTCCCTCAAAGCGCCTGAAAGTGTCTTAGTACATTTTTGTGTTGAGCAGTTATTACACAAAGGTTTTCGCTTGAAGCCCCTCATCTGTGTGTGTGTGTTGTGTGTGTGTGTGTGTGTGTGTGTGTGTGTGTGTGTGTGTGTGTGTGTGTGTGTGTGTGTGTGTGGAAATTTTGACATTTGATACCTGTTAAAGACAATATTGACTGATATTGATTTTTTTACTTTACAATCTCACAAATGTATTCTACACAGTCAATAAGCACAATATGAAGCAGGCCGAGAATCACGAACGAATTGTGAATTAAGCAGCAGCGCAACGTAATTAAACAAATAAAACCCTAAATACGTTTAGTGAACAACCCCACGCTTATGGGTTTGTGATTGTGCAGATCCAGGAAGTGGACGGAAGGGTTAAGTGTCCTGGAGGAGCCTGCGCGTGTCCCTCTGGAAGGTGGAATTAGGGCTGTAAGTCTCCGCGGGGCCGCAGGGCAGAGCCCTTATTCTGCCAGGAGAAAGGAGTGTTTTGGTTTGAACCTCCGAGGGAAGCCTGCCAGATCATAATCACAGCTAAAGTCGGTCACACGAATGACACACCAGCGGGGCCTCACGCCTAGCTTATCCTTCACCTGGTTACAGTTAGCCCCGACGCGTGATGCCAGAACTTGTATCCGTTGTGAACACACACACATCTCAAAAGCGAGGTCCATTGTGCCACAGTGCTCAATCGCCAATGTGAACCGAAGACACACAGAACACAGAAACCCCCCCACTAAAAATAAGAAATACAAAAAAGAGGTCCGGATGTCTCTGCTCTCAATCTTGAGAGATATTCCTGTATTCTTATCTTGTGCTGTCGTGGATGAATGAATGTTCATCTCATCTGTCACATTACCAAAGTAAAGATTTTGAATAGTTGAATGGACATTTCCCCAGAGACTGTCAATGTCATTTAAAGTAATGTGGAATTTTCTTTTTGCATGTATTGATAAAAACAAGGTTTCATACTTAATTTGGCAAATGTTGTAGTAGAGGCTTAACATTGGTGTGGTGACTGCAATCCGGTAGAGTCACGTGAGGCTAAGTACGGGAGATTGCTGTGGACTCGTTCCAAACAGACGCTGATTCCTCCTATGAAGTTCATTGTTTTTATTAAGTTAAAAACACATCCAAGCGGGCGAAGCGATACACGATGTGCGCCGATGCAATAAAGTGCGCTGTAGGATACGGTCAACAAAAAGTATCGTCTCCCGACTCACCCCCATGTCCATACAACCATCACTCTGCCAGGGTGCCTACACTCATTCATAAACCACTGCACCCCTGCCCACGTGATTCTGCTGCTAATTACGTTTCAAAATAAAGTACCAACACTCACACACAGGAAGTGGCGTTCGGCCGCTACAATTGGGCCCCCTTTAGCTGTAAAACATAGCAGTGTCTGAGGGCTTTATCAGTTGTGTCTGACGGCCTTGTTGTGTGACAGCGAGACGGACAAAAGTTCTGTTTGACTGGATGGACTGTGGTTGCCTCCCAAAATGGAGATTAGTGATTAGTGTTTTGTCTTGGCTTTAACCACTCGTTTTTAATAAAAATCTATTTGTATCTTATATTTCTCTTTTTATCTCTTACATTTTCCCTTTTCACCCACCCGTCCATCCCTCTATGTACGGAGGACCCTGGGGACGTCACACAAAACGAACATTGCATCACACTGTTATAACACAATCCGAAGACTGGGCATTCATTCTGAATGGCGCTACAGTTACACAGACTTTTCTGTTTTTGCTGTGGAAAGAGAAACCTTTTGACTTATGAACCATGTAACCCAAATTCATTTAGATTACACTTCTTTAATGTTGCCGAAGTGAACAATGAAACAGTGACTTTACTCCTTTTTAATGCAAGCAGCAATGAGTGCCTCCATTGTGTCAGAGGATTACTGGCTGGTAATGGCTCTATGACAAGTTTTGGGAAGGCGGCCAAAGGGATTAATGCAGATTGTCTCCTGTAATACCCTGATCATCCTACCTTTCAAATCACAGCCAGGTGACCTTGCCTGTTACGTCATCATCATCATAAGCAACTCGATGGTCGAGATAGTGGAGGATTTAGCAGGTATTTGTCAGGTATGCTCGCTACAAGGGATGTCTTGAAAGGCTAAAAGATGCTTTGGAAAGGAAAGAAAATATGCATGTTTTTGTTCAATCAAAATTCTAATTATTATAGATGAATTTCTACGAATTGCATCAATTCAGAAAAGAACTGATACAATACTATAACCCTTTCTTGTGATGTAAAACAGTCCATTCAGTCAACATGGAAATAATTGTATTACAATGTGCAAATGTTGGAGACATTTTAAGTTAGTTAATAGAAACATCACACGAAATCCCACACACACTGTTCCAAGGCCTGCAAGGCAAGAGTCACACATAGTGATACTTATTTTTCCCACTGTAATTCTTATTTATCTGAGTCTGGTTCAACTGCAGCCTTTGATAAATGAATGAAGTGCTTACAGAATATATCCCTTTTCCAAAAGCATTTCAAAATTTAAGAAGTTTTCTGTTTAAAATCTTCAAATATTTCTGTTAAAAATATTTCCTGTATTTTAATGCACCCATTATATCCCCATAATTCCTTCCAATATACCCACTTCCTCCTTGGACATTGAGTTTGCCGATGGGAGGCAGAGGTGCATCATGGGAGGAAATGGTGTAATAGCAGTGTGTTTATTTGCGCAAAGGTAAACGGAGTGATTCCTTAATAAAATCCAGGGTGAGACTGTTTACCCAGAGCTCTCCCGCTCTCGCTCTCCTTCTCCTGAACAGTGAGGGCACTGTCCTGCATGGTGGCCGCTGGAGGGTGTTGGCACTGCGTGGTCCTCCACACACACACACACACACACACACACACACACACACACACACACACACACACACACACACACACACACACACAGATACAAACACAATGCACAGTAGCAGCACTCCTCTGCTTTCAGCTTTTTGAAAATATGATCCGTCTTGTGCTCAGCTACATATTTTACCTGTGTAAAAACTCTGGATCGGGCTTCAGGTGCATGCACAGACAGCTCTGTTCTGCCTCCTGCCCGCACACACCCACAGACCGGTAGCCTAAGGCCCTTTAAAATGTTTGTAAATTAAAAAAGTCTAGGTCTAATAACATCATATTTTTTTCTTTTGTTAGTTATTTAGAAAGCTAGTTCTGGTTGTGAGGTAGAAATCTCACTTTCTCGGCCACCTTCTGTCCACCAGGATCCGTCCTCAGCTGGCCAGAGAGAAGATCGAGGGCTGCCACATCTGCACGTATGTGATGCCCGGGGAGCCGCAGGTGTTCCTGGGAAAGGACAAAGCCTTCACCTACGACCACGTCTTTGACATCACCACCCAGCAGGACAGCATCTACGCGCACTGCACCGAGAGTCTCATCGAGGGCTGCTTCGAGGGATACAATGCCACTATCTTTGCATACGGACAGGTGGGTCGACTGGGGTTCTCCTGCATGTTGGGAGATCAACGCAAGCACTCACACCCTCACTGACGGGTCCACTTCCCCCGACGGGCAATGGAGCTACTTCCAGCTAGATTTAATTTATTTATGGAAAATAAAGGAGGGAGTGAACAGGGCTCACAGCTGCTCCAGTTCTCTTCAATACACAATCCGCTGACATGTTGTGCCCTGCTGTCCCTACCACAGCTTTTATATTGACCTGGGAGGGTACGATAGAAAAGGTGCCCAATCAGAGCAGAGTGTGAATGGATTACTTCATCTCACCTAAGGGCAGGGAAATAAACTGCAGTCAAAGTATAATAGGGCGATTTTCTTACCTCAAAACCGAACCAGACTCGTTTCCGTGCTCAACTGTCTTTAGCTCCATTTGAAACCGACAAATATGAGCGTGGCATAATTCTTCCTAAATAATTGTTTCATGACTTTTAATTATTTATGAACCCGGGAATTTAAAAGTACACATTTTCCCACCGTCAAACTGCCAAAGCAGAGGGTTAAATGGAAATGCACTGCTAAACTGTACATTGTGCTGTATAGGCCAAAGAAGTGGCTTGATAGGAGATATTTTTTATATTTCCCACTTATAACCAGAGACCGGATATTTGTACTGCATAACAAAACCCCAGACAAGTCCACCACTTCTGGGTTACTTCCACTCTTAATATCATTTTATATTCTTAATCTCAAGGGACCTCTTCCAGAGTGGAGGCCTTTAATGGTGACAATAGAAAAAGCAAAAGCAGCTGCAGCAACAACAAAGCCTGTTCGATAAAATTACTTTCTATTAAGCTCGTCCAGACTGAAAAATCCATTGTGAGGAAAAAAAAGAAAAGGGAGAGAGAATGTGACCTGCTTTTCATTTGTCTTTCACACGGCATCCCCGGCTGAGTCTCCCTCTCGGCTCTTCTTCTCTCCGGTCTTTCTTCTCTCCTCACATTGTTCCTGCTGCCGTTGTGTTCCTGTCAAAGAGCCTTTCACAGGGCGCAGCGGAGCCTGCGTGCAGACACAGGAGCATGTGCACAAACGTAATAAAACACAGGTGTGGTCTCGTAGAATCAAACCAACAGACCCACAAACCCTGTTTTTGTCTCTCTCTCTCTCTCTCTCTCTCTCACACACAGCCTCGTATATCACACACACAGTCCGGCATTTGTTCAGGAAGGAGAGGGCAAATGGGTGAATTTGAGCTCAATGTTGAATTCCTGCTTTAGTCGCCACGACGACCTCCCCCTCCTCCCCCTCTATGTTGGATACGCTACCTCAGAGCTGCACCCAGCCTCGGAGGGCCCCGGGCGACTGGTTCGAGTCAAGAATCGAATGGTTATGGCTGAAAAACACACACAATAAGAGAAGAATCCCCGTTTGGTAAACTAACCGATGCATCTGTCTCTTCCCCCGCGCGCAGACGGGTTCGGGAAAGACGTACACCATGGGAACCGGCTTCGACGTCAGCATCGAGGAGGACGAGCTGGGTATCATTCCGCGTGCCGTTAACCACCTGTTCAGAGGGATCGAGGAGCGCAGACAGGCTGCCACCGAGCAGGGCAGGCCTGTTCCCGAGTTCAAGATCAACGCACAGTTCCTGGAGGTGCAGGAGCACAAAACACACCGACGCACAAACACACAGAGTGTCTCAAACTGAGGCAAATTTATCAGCACTCTGAACTCTTAAATTTAAAGTATCCAGTATGCTTAAGGTCCATCAGTTTGACGTAACGAGAGCATGCAAACAGCAAAGAGGTCAAATGTCAACAGAGTGTGAAGGGGTATTAGGGTTATGAAAGCATCCAGATGACCAAACGGCCATTAAACTGTCATTAGCCTGTCACTGTGATCCGCTCCTGGCTTTATTTTTAACCGCCAACGAGTGGATGGTAGCAGCTGGTGATGAAGCAGCTGGGTGGGGGGGTGAGTCTGGGAAGCAGACCTGCCAACTTGGACTTAATTTTGCATAGCAGATGTGCATTTTGACATGAAAAATGTTAACACCCAGAAGACAAATACTGGGGAGAAAATTATTAATTTTGACTTGCTGTATTGCTGATGCTCGGTGTTTTCAACTGGCCCACCACAGTTTAATTATGAAGTAAATACATCATTTGTATACCTCTAATCCGGATGGCTTATACGATAATTTGTGTATCATCTGTGTTCTGTCCATATTCTGCAGCTGTACAACGAGGAGGTTCTGGACTTGTTTGACTCGACGCGAGACATCGAGGGAAAGAGGCAGAAATCCAACATCAAGATCCACGAGGACGCTACCGGAGGCATCTACACCGTGGGGGTCACGACCCGCACCGTTACCTCAGCAGCTGAGGTTTGCTTTAACAGCCTTCTCTGCCCCATCCCTGCCCACAGCATTTTAACAACATGTCTTGCGCATGTGGACACGTCTGCACATTATGTATTTTTGATTTGAATTTCATTGAAATCTGTATTTCAATGAAATGTATCTGTATATAAAAAAACATTCTAAAATGTTGTTAATACTGAAGAAAACACCACTATGATTTAAAACAATCACTTTAGCATAACTACTAAAACACTTCTGATGGTTTCAATCCACGTGGAAACTGTATTTCCAGCGGTGTTTTTTCACATGTTTTTATACATGTGAAAACACAATGACCTTCACCCGAAGACATCTGTATGCTTTGTCGTTCCTCCCTCCGTGTGTGCTGCAATCTGTTCCGTCTCTCTCTCCTCCTGCAGATGATTCAGTGTCTGAAGGTGGGCGCTCTGTGTCGAACCACCGCCAGCACCCAGATGAACGCACAGAGTTCACGCTCCCACGCCATCTTCACCATCCACCTGTGCCAAGTCCGAGTCTGCTCTCCCGACAACGACGTGCGTACTCGAACGCACTGTGTGGTCCAGGCGGCCACGAAAGGAGAACATCACTGGCGCTTTTTTCCTTGATGGCCGTCCGCTGCAATGTATTCTTTTGACGCTTCCCTCTCTCTCTCTTCCAGGAGCACGTCTCGGACAACCGTCTGGCTGACGACACAGAGATCAACGAGTTTGAAACGCTGACAGCCAAGTTCCACTTTGTGGACCTGGCTGGTTCTGAGAGGCTGAAGAGAACCGGAGCTACGGGAGACCGGGCTAAGGAGGGCATCTCCATCAACTGTGGGCTGGTGAGGACGCTAAGAGCACGTCTGCAGTCGTAGCTCATAGTCGTGCATTGCATTGCATTGCCTTTTTGAAGCCTTGAAGTAGTTTTTGTCTGAATTGATCTGTTATTCTATTGCTGTGCAACATTCGACTGTGGTTTTGTGGAGCAACAGTGCTCCCAAGTGGGCTAGAACGTGTACTGCATGCTTCCACCTTCAAATTCCTTATTGTTTATGATGATTTATATGTCACTTCTTTTTACTACAAATCGAAAGTAGAGTTTGATTTACATCCTATTTCATGAAGTCGCGGAATTGCTTAAGCACTGAACATCCAAGCGTAACCTTGCGTTTTCCCCGTCTCACCTCAGCTTGCTTTGGGAAACGTCATCAGTGCTCTGGGAGACCGGAGTAAGCGCTCCACTCACGTGCCTTACAGGGACTCCAAGCTCACCCGGCTGTTACAGGACTCCCTGGGTGGCAACAGGTCTGCACACACGGTCTGCGTCCAGATATTTAAAGTATATGTCTGTGACAATTATACAGTATTAATGCTGCAAGAGTTACCTGCTTTGAAGTCAGTGATTAATGTTCACGAGGGACCAGTGCAACTTTAATTATTAAAATATTCACCAGTCTGGTATTTACCGTTCTACATTTGTGCGTTCTCCAGTCAGACGGTGATGATCGCGTGCATCAGCCCGTCGGACCGGGACTTTATGGAGACCCTGAACACTCTGAAGTACGCCAACAGAGCCCGAAACATTAAGAACAAGGTGATGGTGAACCAGGACAAAGCCAGCCAGCAGATCAGCGCCCTGAGGACGGAGATAGCACGACTGCAGATGGAGCTGATGGAGTACAAGACGGTGAGAAGACGGGGAAAGCAGGGAGCCTAGTGTGTGGAATCATAACCTTACATAGAGTGCAGAAGAATATTTCATGATCCCATCCGCTTCATCTGATGCTCAGGGGAAGCGCATGGTGGGCGAAGATGGCATGGAGGGAGTCAACGACTTGGTCCATGAGAACTCCATGCTGCAAACGGAGAACAACAACCTGAGGGTGAGAGTGAAGGCCATGCAGGAGACCGTCGACGCCCAGAGGGCCAGACTCACGCAGATCCTCAGTGACCAGGCCAACCAGGTCCTGGCGAGAGCAGGTGGGCAGAAAAAAAAAGCTAATGCTACTAACTACTACTACTACTAATTACGTCAGATAGTATTTAACTTTAACTGCTCAAATTGCACATTCGCATTGCCCGTCCTTTAATCGTCAATATACATCCTAATTGTTTTAATGTACAAAAGTAGATCCAATTAGTTTAGAATATGTAGCCGTGCTAGATGCTTTGCGGGGGGTTGAGCAGAATACTACTGTAAGAATGCTAATATGCTCACAATGATAGCGATAGCATGCATGTGTTTACTCCATCCATCCATCCATTGTCAAACCGCTTGCACACAGGGTCGCGGGGGGGCTGGAGTCCATCCCAGCCAACTTTGGGCGATAGACAGGGTACATCCTGGATTGGTCGCAAGCCAATCGCAGGGCTACACAGAGACATACAACCATTCACACTCACATTCACACATCTACGGGCAATTTAGAGTCACCAATTAACCTGATCCCCAGAGCATGTCTTTGGACTGTGGGAGGAAGCCGGAGAACCCGGAGAGAACCCAGGACCTTCTTGCTGTGAGGCAACAGTGCTAACCACCGCGCCACCGTGCCGCCCCCTATGTGTTTACTATATTTGCTAATTAGTAAACACATTTATGCATTATAGCAATATTATCAATTTTTTGACCTGCTCATTAAGATGCATGAAAAGTGTATATATAAACAAGGTTTTTAGGGGAGGTATAGTACGAGGTTTTTTTCTCTGCTTGTAGGTGAAGGCAGTGAGGAGATCGGGAACATGATTCAGAACTACATCAAGGAAATCGAGGAGCTCAGGTACCATCGGATTTAGAATTCAAATTTATCTTTTTATTTCAGTATTTTGGTACTCTTATTTAACCAACAGATTATTAAAAAAAAAGTGTTGAGTGACGGAAATAACACTTAACTTCCCCCACCCTCAGAGCCAAACTCCTCGAAAGCGAGGCTGTGAATGAGAATCTGAGGAAGAGTCTGTCTCGGGCCTCTACGCGCTCTTCGCTATACGGCGGCTCCTTCTCCCAAACCCACCTCGTCCCAGAGAAGGAGGCCAACGACGTCATCGAGATGGCCAAGAAGAGCTTGGAGAAACTCAAGAAGAAGGAGAGGAAAAAGAAGAGAAGGTATATTTTGCATCGTTCTCTCCATTTTGATTAATTTGAAAACAATTAGTGCTGCAACAATGCTCCCTGCAAAAGCAGTTGCTTTTTAAAAATGAAATCTTTCTTTTTCCTGCACGTCTCCATACGTTGTCATTCGAACACATTGCGTTTGAGAGTCTCTGCACTCGCCTGGCCGTTCTTGTCGCTCGCTCACTATCTTTTTTTTCCATCTTGTAATACTCCCTCACTTGCCCCAACTTCTGTGGCACATCTGCCCCCTCGCCCCCCCTCTACCTCCTCCTCTCTCTGAAGACTGAGGCAACATGAAGATAATCCCCACCAAGAGGTTGAACACACCAGGTTTGCGACAACCCACCCAGGATCAGGTCAAATAGGAAACTGGTTCGATTACCAGCGATGCAAATGCCGTATTTTTGTGCTCAGATTAAAATGCATCGAGTAATCGAAAGGATTTTAGTTGATCGTTAACCTGCATCCAAACCCAAATCTTCCTTTCTTTCCTAAAGAAACTAATCTCTAATTTATTCTGCATCTAAAGGTGGTTTACACTCTTAACTAATATTTTATCCAGCTCTTCCTCTTAACCCTTTGTGTTACAGCCTTAAATAAAATTAATGGAAAATGGAGTTAGATTTTTTTTTTAAAGATAAAAGAGAGGGTTTCTTTAATGTAAGAATTAAACTGTGTGTGGCAACCCTACTTTAAATTAAATCAGCTTGTATTGTTCCTAGCAGTGATCTGTTAATCAAATTGTCTTTTCCCTTGTATCATTAACCTCTACATGCAATCACAGTGAGATCATTCATTAATACTCATTTCACATGTGCTCCTGATCTGATTCAGTCATTTGCACGTGCGCTTCACCCATCGTTGTTTTGTAATTTGAATTGCAGTTAATTTCAGCTCCGACCGACTGGATGGGCTCTCGATAGGTAGTTTGTTAACAGTCTTTTCCTCCTTCAGTGTTATCAAGGAGGAAGTGCCAGACAACGACCAGGAGCAGGGCAACGAGGAGGCAGAGGTGGAGTGGCAAACTTTACAATTTAGATCTAAAGAAGACACATTTCTGTGTTTTTTTTTTTTTTTTCTTCAGGATCAGGAAACATTTATTACCAAAATATGCCAAACATACAAGGAATTTGTCTTGGCGGTTGGTGCGCGACAATAGACAGTGTGATAATAGACAAGACAGCAGTGCACAAGTAATAAAATAGTAAAATGAAATGCTAATGCTAGTAGTAATAGTAGTAGTAAAATGAAATGCTAATGCAATGGGTTAGTAGAATAAGGCTATGGGTTAGTATAAAACAAGGGAATAAAGTTAAACATTTTAAATATTAAAAAAGTTTAAAAAAAAAATATTAAGCATAAAGTGCACTAACGAACAAGTAACAGAGTGATGACAAAGTGATAAATTACAGTTAAAGTGAGTGTAAATGTGCAGTATATGCAGTATGTGCAGTGTATATCTCATGTATGTTTCTTCATGTTTGACAGGAGGGAAGCGACCACGAAGAAGGCGAAGAAGCGGATGGAGAAGAGGAGGACTTTGACACTGTGGGAGACGACACCTCGGGCGACTCTGACTCCGAAGAACTGGAGGAGAAAGGTAAAATTTGCGTTACTCTAGCCGAAATGTACGGCGTATTTTCTGAAGTGACAGACGGCCGTCGATGATGCGACGGGATCTAATGACGTCGTTGTGTGCAGAAAACGTCCAGGCCGACCTGGCCAACATCACCTGTGAGATCGCCATCAAGCAGAAGCTGATAGACGAGCTTGAGAACAGCCAGCGGCGTCTGCACACGCTCAAACAGCAGTACGAACAGAAGCTGACCATGCTGCAGAACAAGATCCGAGACACGCAGCTGGAGCGGGACAAGGTGCTGCATAACATGGGTAAGAGACGCACGACGACAAACACTCGACATCAGTAACGAACTGGTGGCGGAATACATCTCTGAAGAACCGGGGGTAAAGGAACAAAAGAAATGAAGGGCATGGTTCTTTCCGTGTTCACCTTCAGGTTCAGTGGAGTCTGGTACGGAGGAGAAGGCTAAGAAGATCAAAACAGAGTACGAGAGGAAGCTGAGCTCCATGAACAAAGAGCTGCAGAAGCTCCAGTCCGCTCAGAAGGAGCACGCCCGCCTGCTGAAGAACCAGTCACAGTACGAGAGACAGCTGAGGAAACTCCAGCTGGATGTGACCGAGATGAAGAAGACCAAGGTAAAAGAAAGGGCTCCGTTTGTGCTTCTGTCTTCGCTCTAGTCTTCTTGCAGGGCTGATTTTTCTCCCGAAATGTCATGTTTTCTTCCACCAGGTGGTGCTGATGCGTCAGATGAAGGAGCAGCAGGAGAGAAACCGAGCCTCGGAGTGCAGGAGGAACCGGGAGATCGCCTCTCTGAAGAAAGACCAACGCAGAGCTGAGGTGAGAGGGATGGAAACATGTATCATTGTACTTCTTTTTGTTTATTTTTGGTTTATAGTCTCTAGCCTCAAGTCATGAGTAGGCTTAGATAAACTCGAGCTTTGTAGCCTACTGGGTCTTTCCTGATATGCACTCTTTTTACAGCACCAACTGAAGCAGATGGAGGCCCAGAAGAGACAACAGGAGCTGATTCTTCGCAGAAAGAACGAAGAGGTGAGACACGTCACATTGGGAGGGTGGGTGTGATATCACCGGTATTGCTTCCGCTATTGTTTCACTCTCATATGCGAAATGACTCCTTTTTGAACTGAATCAGGTGACCGCCCTCAGGCGGCAGGTGAGACCCGTGTCTGGGAAGGTGAGCAGGAAGGTGAGCTTACCCGAGTCTCCCCAGGAGCCGTCTCATAGAGCCCTGCCCGGAAGGATGCAAACCCCTGGAGCATCCCCAGCCAATGGAGCCAGGTGCGTTGTGCTTGTGTGTGTGTGTGTGTGTGTCTTTAAACAGTTTTTAAAAAGCCCTGGCTTATTCCAACAGGAGTTCCCCAATGCGGATGGGAAGTATCTACCTCAACAGGACAGCCAGGGCCAAATGGCAGTCACTGGAGAGACGCGTCACCGACATCATCATGCAGAGGATGACCATCTCCAACATGGAGACGGATATGAACAGACTGCTGAAGGTACACGTGAGATCTTCAGATTCACGACGGTCGCGGGCAAACAAAAATTTTGTTTTTCAGAGTCTGTAAAATAAATGTAAAAGCTCAACATCCACGTGTTATAACCTACTTTAAAAGCTTTTATCCTTTCTGTCTCCTCTCAACTCCACACCAGCAACGGGAGGAGCTGACCCGGCGGAGGGAGCGAGTGTCCAGAAAGCGAGAAAAGATGGCGGTGGAGGGCGTAGACGCCGACCGCTCGCTGGCCTCCCTGAGCGAGGAGCTGGAGTCTCTGAGCGCCAACATCGACTATATAAACGACAGCATTGCCGAGTGCCAGGCCAATATCATGCAGATGGAGGAGGCCAAGGTGAGGTGGAGGGGATTCCCAGGTGTCTTATTCCTCGGTGGTCGTGATGCCTGTAGGTTAGATGATCAATCATTTCAGGTAAAGGAGGGTGAAGTAAGGATACACCGGATTGCCTTGCGCAACGATCTGTATGGCCACCTCATTAGCTGGTATAGACTTGTACTGGACTGGAGCTCTCGGGCAAATCATTTTGAAATAATTGCATAGTTCAGCACTACTGGCGGCTCCCAGAGCGTTTTAGACCAATAAGCCTTGTGCGTCTCATTTTTCAGAGAAACAGTGGCTCCATAAAACAACAACAACTGCTGGCAGTGCAGCTTATTAATGCAGCCAATGGCATAGTGATGCATAACACACAGACATTCATAAATTAAACTTTACAAGTGTTAATTACGGAGCTGTTTCCTCTGCATGATCCAGAATCAAATTGCACGTCCACTCGCACCGTGCGCCACACACAACGGGTTGAAAAGTGCCTTCCAAAATCCTGTGGCTGCTGTACAATTATGTATTAGCATAAGGGATACAGGATTATTACTGTGTGTGTGTGTGTGTGTGTGTGTGTGTGTGTGTGTGTGTGTGTGTGTGTAATAAATATATATATATATATATATAGATGTTTGTGTCATCAACATCCACCTATTTTACTCTATAAGACACGTAATAGAAAATGATCAAGATTCCCGTCTAACTCTTGACAAGAACGTTTGTCTTGTGATGGAGTTTCTTATGATGCTTCTTTATTGACCGGGTTGTTGTTTGGCTGCAGGAGGAAGGAGACACAGGAGACGTTACCGCGGTGATCAGTTCCTGTAATTTATCAGAGGCCCGCTTCCTTCTGGACCATTTCATGAACATGGCTATCAGTAAGGTACCTACCCCGCTTGCGGACTTAATGAGATTTTACTCTAAATACAATCAGTCTGTCTTTGTTTACTTACAGACAACGGAAGTCAAGTTCCTGCATTAATGTGAAAGCAACTTCTTTAACCGTGTATAAATCCTTCACTTTTACCCTTTACGAGATTTATGATGCAAGACAACGCATTCCTTTATGTTATGCTATTTATGTGATGGCCATGTCTGTCAAAATGAATTGCATGCATTTATATGCATCGTGATTGTTGATGTACACTGTTAGATGTTGTGGCAACTCAATTCAATGTGTCTGCTGTTGTTGCCATGGCTCCTTTCATGCAATTAAATAAAGTTTCAATTAGATTAAATTTGAGGCAACCTAATTGGTTCGGTGAGGTAATGCATTCGTCCCAGAAGACAGATGGAAGAATCAAAGAGTTGCAAAGGATGTGCTGCTCCTCCGTTGAGAACCCACCTCCCGTGTGTCATCATGTGTCAGGGGCTGCTGGCGGCTCAGAAGGATTCCCAGATGAAGGTGATGGAGGGCACTTTGAAGCAGACGGAGATCAATAACGCCACCCAGAACCAGCTGCTGTTCCACATGCTGAAGGAGAAAGCGGAGATCAACCCAGAGCTGGACGCTCTGCTTGGCAGCGCGCTGCAAGGTAGGAAACGGCAAAAAATCCATACCAGTCTGAGCATGCCAATCACCATCACCTTTCTTCCCTTTTCTTTCACCAGAAGGCTACATTTTATTTAGTAGGCCGCACTGCTTTTTCTATAAAAAGCAAAGCCTGTAAAATAAAATGTTGCCCTTTTTTTATCTTTGGATTTGATTTTGATTTGGTTGTTTGCTTTCTCTGTTGTGTCGGTGTGCTCAGAGTTAGGTTACCTCTCACCAGGTGAGTATGAGCTGGATAGCGGTGTGACTGAGGCGCATGCAATCTACAAGATTTCCATCACATTTATCCATTTAAGTTAAAAGCAAATATGGGATTTCTTTTTTTGTCTTTTTCACTTTGGTCCCATAGGGAATTTCTTTTTTTACTCTCAAAGACCGCAAATCATATGCCTCTTTTTTAAAATGTGGCATTTTTTTTGTCTATACCAAGAACCAGTTTTTTTTAATAGTAATTGTTTCAAGGTGACTCTCTGACCGTAACATTGTTTTATGTTTGATTGCTTTAATCTGCAAAAAATAATGATATATAAAATATGATACATTGAGAAATCTTGCAGAGTGCGCCAGTCCTCTTAAATACTAACCCCTCTTCCATTACATGCATGATGTGTTAAGTTTCCCCTGTTACATACCTGCTAGCAAGTCCCTAAAACTAAAACTAAACCAAGAGCCACACTGCCGCCAGACTGAGAGCTAAAGTGTACAGGGCAGTTTGTGTGTCTGCCCTGACAGGCAGATGTGTTTGTGCCTTCCAAAATCCTCCCAACGCTCGAGCTTCTGACACCCACATCTGTCCCCCTTTGGCTAAAAGTAAACCCCTGACCACGTCATGAGCTGTTGAAGCCTTAATTATGTTGTGCTGTAATATCTAGCTTTCTAAATGGATGTTGTCTTTTGCAAAAAGCCCCCATTTGATACGAGATAAAGTGTATCATTAAGAAAAAGACACGTATACTTTTCAAGTTAAGTGAGAAAATCAGATTTTTCCCAGAGAATGGAGATTGCAGCAGCAGCGACGAGTCCACCACCAGTCCAGGTGCGGAGGGCAGGTAAATACCTACGCACAGTATGCCTTCTATTCACATATGAAGCACTCTTTACTGAGACACCTCAATAGACAAAGACATCATTTATGTTATCAATGTGCCCTGTGTGCGTTTTCATTTTTGAGAAGTTGCCGTTCTTCCAGACCGGAGCATTTCACGGCTGATTTACACGGACAATAACCCAATAACTTGCTGAACTAGTCGCTTTATGTAGCACCACCGTAACAAATATGATTCAATCTGTCCAAATGGCAACAGCCGTAGCTCTACTTCAACAAAAAAAGTACACAAATACTTCACTTTGTTTCAGCTCACTGGCATCAGATCTAATGAAGCTATGTGGGGAAACCAGACCAAGAAGCAAGGTACTGTACTGGGCATGCAAATCTCTCTTTATTAGTACAGCTACATATGTTATGCTGTTAAAGCCAAATACAATTTTGATGTCCTATTTTAACTTCATTTGAAATAATTCAAAAATGGTCCATTGACTAGTGAGTCAACTAAATATTGAGCCAAACAATTGCCTTCCCTCAGGCTCGCAGACGGACCACCACCCAGATGGAGCTTCTGTATGCCGGCAGTGGGGATCAGTCCTTTGATTCCCCCACCGGAGACTTCCTAGGCCCTCTGCTGCCCCTCTCAGAGCTCCCGGAAGGGTCGGGAGACATGCTGGGTCAAGCGCTCGCTCAAACCCCTGACTGCGAACAAACTGCTTCCCCATCTGCACTGTCTGCCAGGCCAGCTGGCTTGTAAGTGTTTCAGGGCAACATTTCTCATTGATGGACGGATACCTCAAGAAAATTGTCTTTGTCTTAAGTGTTTATTTATTTGAGGAGGTTATTATTCCCTTGCCTTATAGATTATTGGAAATTTTTCTTACTGTCCGCAGTTGTGGATCACGGTCACCCACAGGTACCGAGAGAAGGCCACCTGACCGCTCGCCCCTCAGCCGAAGGCGGGTGCAAGAGAAAGGAGCCGCGTCGACGCACATCCCAGCACCCACACACACCGGGGAGGCCAAAGCTAAAGGCAGCATCCACAGAGCACAGTAAGGGGAAGTGCCCTCTCTGTGAGCTTCATGTTGCATGTTTTTCTTTCAACTTGGTGGTCAACACGCGGAGTATGAAAATGCTTTTTGAAATGTGACATTTTACGTTTTTCAGTTCGGAGGAGTCGCCTGCAACGGGTGGCCACAGGTAGTGTTCCTCTTAATGTGTCCCAGAAGTCCGTTTCAACAGGATTCCATTGAGCCTCTTTTTTTCTGAAGTACCTCTATCTCAAATCCTGTTATTTCTGTGCAACACGTGCACCGCAGTAGCACTAGTAACTATTATCTTTATCGTGTCATGTGTGTTGTAGGGGTGTGATCAACCCTTTGAAGAACAGCCACGAGGCCAAACTTCAGTGTGTCTATGTAGCAGAGGGGCACACCAAACCCGTCCTCTGTGTGGACGCCACAGATGATCTGCTATTCACGGGATCCAAAGGTGGAAAAACAAGTTGTTTTCAAACTTCAAACAAAAAATAAATGTTCCCTTTTTTTTAACATGGGTTTTGTGTTTCCAGATCGTACATGTAAAGTCTGGAACTTGGTGACGGGTCAGGAGATCATGTCTCTGGCAGATCATCCCAGCAGTGTCGTCTCTGTCAGGTATTGGAATACAGCAATAATACTATTGCAGTAATGCTGGTATTCAGTAGCAGTACATAGTAGCACAAGTAAGTCATTTTTCCTTATTTTTGTTGTTTTATTTCAGGTACACTTCAAGTCTCGTCTTCACGGTTTCAACAGCTTTACATCAAAGTGTGGGACATACGAGACTCTGCCAAGTGCATCCGCACACTCACGTGAGTTTATTTACTCCTGACATCTTTGCAGCCTACGTTGTTTCGTGTGATCACGTCTGAAAAGGCTGTATTTTTTTTGCAATTAGGTCGTCAGGCCAGGTGGGTTCAGGGGACATCTGCTCGTCCGCCAGGAGCTTATCCATCCCACCCGGAGAGAGTCAGATCAACCAGATCGCCCTCAACCCCTCCGGCTCCTTCCTTTACGCTGCCGCTGGGAATGCTGTGCGCATGTGGGACCTCCGCAAGTACGTCCAAGCACAGAATAAGAGTCCTCCTTTTTACAATGTATCCCTATGGTCGAATGCACCTATTGTAAGTCGCTTTGGATGAAAGCGTCAGCTAAATGACATGTAATGTATTGTACAAAGCAGGATGGACAGAACTCATCTCCTTTCCTTTCTTTCGCTAGATTTGTATCCACGGGGAAACTCACCGGACATTTGGGACCTGTAATGTGTCTGACTGTCCACCAATTAGGTCACGGGCAGGACGTCGTCCTCACTGGCTCCAAAGACCATCATGTTAGAGTAAGAGGCGATAAACTCCATCCGCATTCCCATTCCTAACCCCAACCCAAGATACGAGAATGAGATGCGTTGTGGCTTCTATTCTTAGATGTTTGAGGTGTCCGAAGGGTCCCAGGGAAGCATCAGCTCCAGCCAGACGTTTGAACCCGGCCATCAGGACGGCGTGGAGTCTCTGGCCGTGCACGGAGACGTTTTCTACAGCGGCTCCAGAGACTATCACATCAAGAAGTGGGACCTCGGCAGTAAACGGCTGCTCCAGGTACGCTGAGGCTACGGCCACATAGCGGAGCCACAAGCTGTCCCCAACCCCCCCCCCCTTAGATTCTGATTTGTAGGAGCTGAAAACCCTTTTTGAGAAACGTTTCAAAACTACAGTGGGATGAGCGATGCAGAAAGACGTCCGCACTAACTGTTGTTTCCTCTCGCAGTCTGTCAGCGCCCAAGCGGACTGGGTCAGCGCTCTGGGCACGATGCCGGGCTCCCCGGTGCTCCTCAGCGGATGCAGAGGAGGGCTGCTGCGCCTCTGGCACGCCGACTCGCTAGCGCCCCTCGGCGAGGTCCGGGGACACGACAGTCCCATCAACGGCCTGGCCAGTAACGGCAACCAACTGTTCACCGCCTCAGAGTGAGTCACAAAACGCGCTCGTCTGATTCGTTATGCTTTTCCCCATTACTGTCAAGTGTGCAGTGAAACGGTTCTATCAAACACACTGAAACGGGAAATGGGACGCTGAATTCTGCTTGTTCTGCTTTTGTTTTTTGATAGTGACCGCACAGTGAAGATTTGGGAGGCCAAGGGTTCTCTGGAGGATGGGGTCCACTGACACCTGCTTCCGGATCTGAAATACAGGATCATCTGCTGGCCTTGAACCAATCAAAATGTGTTGGATGGGAGCCCAAAGTGTCGGCCCTGCCGAAGACAAATCTACAACACTGATCCTTGGCTGATGATCCACTGGGATCAGTTTCAGAGAAGTCTAATGGGATGCAACTGCTCTCAGTCTCAATCAAAGTGGAGCCTCTCCGGTCGCCCGGAGAGCTCCGCTGATTACACGACAGCCGCAATGGGCGGCTTCTTGTGTTGCGGCGACAGGAGACAACAGAATTAAAGTGGAAATGTCTCAATCGATCCAGAGGCCTGTCGTGTGCTTTCAACAATCCTGTCTTTAGTTCAGCACGCAACAACATTTCCGTGCACGGCCTATAGGGAATTTAAAAAACTGTTTTTGTTGTAGGGCTTTGTTTCCTTGCACCAGTTGTTGATTTGCGAAAAGAGTCTTCATCCCAAAACAAGACATAGATGTTCATATTCTGCTGTCGGCAATAACTGTGAGTCCATCCTGTTTGTTCCCATTATGCGTGATGTGTTATGTCATTGCTCCCCAGGTCATTTTGTGTGTGTGTGTGTGTGTGTGTGTGTGTGTGTGTTCAGTGTAGGCAAGGACCCAATAACTGCTGAACTTGCATATAGTCTTATTCATCAGCTGTTACTGCCAAACCCTACCGGGCAGAGCTTTTTTTAGAATGGGAGGTGGGCCTCCTCGCGGTGGTTACAAACTGGAGCCTCAATGAAAACACATTACAGTTATTGCATCCGTTACCAAAAGAAAATCTGAAATAGTATAGAACAGCCCAAATGTCTGTTGTCAACATTAGTTGGGGGAAATTTCTCAGTGTAAAACTTTTCAATGCGATGTTTGTGGCCTGAAATTATAGTACCAGTCAAACGTTATGACACCACTTCTGAGCAGATGTGTCCAAACTTTTGACTGGTACTATATGCTTCGCTGTAATTAAGGGTTTCTGTGGGATCAAATAAAATTATTTTTTACTAAAGGCATCCAGCAAGTTATCGGGGGAGAGCCTTTGTTTAAGCTTTAAGGCCCACAGACTCTGACTCTGATCAGCTCTGCTCTAGTAGAACTTAAGCCCTCTAAATAAACATACACTGAATGGGTTCTTTTACATTTCTCTTTTGCATCCTCCTCCTTTAAATTTTATCCAATCAGACAAATGCTAATTTCCTGAAATATTTATGAATCAATTCAGAATCTGTGTCTCTGCACAACGTTATGTGCACGGTTACATGTCACTTCTTAAAAGCGGATACGTTCATAAAAACATGCATAGTTCTGCGCATACTGTATCATATTTGTTCTGCAAGGTTTATAAATCAAAATGTGTTGTTACAGTTCATCAAGCTGACAATGGAAGACACCGCAACGTTTAACGTATTCCTGTAACACACACACACCCTGTGGTGCGGTATGACTGTTCAGATGAAGAGCTCCCACGTTGCACTCCTCCCAAACCAAACCAACTTGTTCCACTACATCGGCTACACACCATGCGTGTGCGGTTATGACGTTGTTCCGACAGATTTTGCTCTGCTCCGTTAAATACGGTTGGAGTGAAGACTGTGCAGGCTGACAAACAGACAGTGAGAGCTTTCTCTCTCAGGCTGTTGGGGTGTCAGCGGTCTTCCACTGAATCTGTTGATTTAGCTCTGGGGCTCAGGAGTCAGTGGTAGACTACGCCCGAATATGAGGTCAGAGATGCTGGAAGTTTAGATGCACAACACAGTTTTGTAAGCCTGCTGTTCATCAGTCTTCTTTGCCGAACATCTCACCCAAAGAGGGATTTTTGGTGGTTTTTTTCCCTCTGACGGTTTTGCTGTGGATGTTTTTGATCAATGGCCAAATTGAGTGTGACGATGAGGCCGAAAGAGTCCTGTGATGTGTGCTGTACCTACCAAATGTATTGATGTTGTCAATATTACTGGAGAATAAGCTTTTGTTTGTATATTTTATGGATCTGGGACACAATTCCTTGTTGCAAACAAAGCTTTTCTCACTTATTTTCTCACAGTGATACTGCAGAGTTTTAATGGATATTGTGGCATCCATATCTTCCACACACACGAGACACACACACATGAGACACACACACACACACACATAAAAAAAATGAATCATCTTTTTGATGTGAGTACTGCTATTTATTTAAAGGTTAATTTTATTTTTGATGTTGCTGTTGTGTCTTTCGTATCAATCAGATTTTTATCCAATTGCCATCGAATGCCTCTCATATTTCAGCACTCCTGGGAATAGATTCTGCATTGTCAGAGATGTATTGCCAGTACATTCTAAACCAGATACTGACTGTAGAATTGTTACACAACAAATGTGAACTACCCCTCATCAAAAGGTCAAGATATCTTTTCAACTTATTGAGAAACACCTTCTTTTATGTTTGCAATGAAAAGTCGACGGGACTAAATTTGGATCAGTATTTCCCCCATTGTCTAAGAACAGTTAATCAATGGTGAAATAAATTAGTTACAAAAATTGGTTTTCATTCCTATTGGGTAATTGCTTAATTATAATATAGAAAATAACATATTTTCCTAATTCAGAATGAATCACATAGGCTGCTTGAAATTAACCATTGTAATTAATAATCCTTATAATTGTAGCTAAATTTAAAAGTACAAATACTTGTGTAAATACCATGAAAGGTATACAACAGGGTTAGATTAGAATAGTTGATTATGACGGTTTTCTTCCTGCTGATTCACTTGTGCAGAAATTTTATTTGCTGCAGTGGAAAAAATAAATTTTAAAACATGGTTTTGCATGGGCTGTCTTTATTTTTGTTTTCTTTTACCATTTCTTTAACCATTTTTTTATGAATATTGTGTGCGTGCGTGTGTGAGTGCGTGTGTGTGTGTGTGTGAGTGCATGCACGCACACACAAACACATTTATCATTGTGCGGTATGAATACGCTACGACCACTTGGTGGTAGCACTGTATGATGAGGTGATGTTTTTGAATTCCCGTTATAGAAAAGACTGATCATTCTAAACGGTCAATAAAAAAACTGCAGGAACCTTTTTAGTAGTAACTATCTCCAACTGTCCACCCAAATACTGGTTTTATAATGAGGGGAATAAGGGAGTACAGTCACTCAAGAAAAATCCTAACACCGCCTCAATATAGATTTGTTATACAGTAGGTCCACTCGCATGAATTTACATAATGTCAGGATCTTTTCTGCCATCGACAAATCCTAAGTCCTCTGCTCCCGGTTTCCCTCCTCCTTTCCTTGTATTCCTATCAGTAAGGTTGTATCCTTTAATTTACTCCAGCACATTAGACACAGACAGACAGAGGGGGAAAAGGGGGAAACTCCCCCTGAAGACACAAATTAATGTGAACAGTGGTGGAAGGATCAATATTTTATGTCCCTCTGTACAGAAAGCAGCAGAGTATTACTTGGCCTTGCAGCGGAGTGTTGACTCACAGCTGACTCACTGCCTTATTGCTGTTTGGTTGAACTTCTACTCTATTCTATTCTACTTCTAAGTGCTTACGGATGACATAACGCTTTCGCTTGCTGTTAATGACAGGGAACATATACGGGGGGTTTTCTAGACGTGATTGATTTTTTATTGTCATAGCACCTTTTCCTTCCTAAACTGTACACACAGAAACACAATTCACACAACCAAATTAGTTCCGCAATGTACTAGTTAGTCAACTAACTAGCATTGTTGGTTTATTTTATAACATTTAAAGTATTGATTCTATTGGTGTCTATTGGTGACATGTAAAAGCTGGATGGATCGTAACCTCACTATATCTGATGTACGGTCAACTGACAGGAGGTACAGTCAACACTAGAATGCACATTATGTGACCTGTTAATAGACCTATTTTTTCCTTGGATTGTTGATAATTGTGGGAAATGACCATCGGAATAATCTTCTCAAATGACCATCACATCACAACATCATTTTTGATGTGTTAATGCAATCTGCAGAAGCAAAAAAAAAACATTTGAAAGCTAACATAACAAACAAACTACGCCATCACACAAACACAAGTTTACTTAACGATAATGTGAAGGCACGACCAGTCGACGCAGATGCCGTTGTGTAGTATTGTTAGCCACTTGTTTGCAAGCACCTTCTATGAGACACGCAAAAAAAGACGTTTGGGGTGAGGTGTGCTTACTTAGGTATCTTATATCCACGAAAAAAATAGGTAAAGATTCTTAGCTTGTGTTAACAATCTAACCAAAATCACGTTGAAAAACAATGTGTTGACTCACTGACTGGTTTTAGGACTCATTCCTACCTCACTCTGCGAAACCATCAACAAAGACTCTGATGCCGGCACATTACACCTTCTCGGAGCATACCTACATCTCTTTCATACTTAACATCAACAGTCTTTGTCACGTTTACTGTAGGCCTTTACCAGCATTCAGTGGCGCTCACATTTCCAGCATATTATTATACAAACCAGATGATCAAGTTCTACCTGAAATTAATGATGACTTCCCCCGACAGAGAGCGTGGGCTTAGAAATCCACTTTCACTTTAATTGTAGCCTGATGATGAGTTTGGATGATACAGCCTCCTCTAATCTGGTCAGTGAACACATTGATTGGGGATGTGTGTGGGCTCACACCGGATGCTCTTGTTTCACAGTTAAATTGGTATGAATAATTCGATTGGAACGGCTGCAGGTGCTTTTTATTTGCCGAGAGATTGCAGTCAATACAGGTTAATTTCTATGTGAAACGACCTGGCCTGTGATTCAGATCCCTTCTTTATTTGTACAAAAACTAATGTACTGCATCCTTTGGATTTATCTTTCCGGTGTTATGATCCATTTGAGGGCAAATGTTCCTTATTGTCCAACCTATACTCTAGTTATAATCATTTCAGGGGAATTGTGTGAGTAGGGATACATCTATATTTTAATATCCAGGTAGATGAGTTACAATTTAACAGAGAAAAAGCTAACAGGAGGTCCGTAAACAGATGTAAGGAGACGCCAAGCAGGCAGGGTAGCATAGATATGGAGACGGGAGAGTCGCCGTGACACTGAGGATTGCAAAAGACACTGTAGAGACACCACCTGTGGGACAACGGTCTTGTGTGTACGTAGACGCTAGGAGACAGAATGGGAGAACATCAGGATAATAAGGTGCGTAGTCACAGCCAGAATAGTGTCAACACACCACATGGGGGGGGGGGGGGGGGCGCTAGTGAAGGACAAGGAGAAGAATAGTGGGACAACGACAGTAGGTGGACAGTTACATAGAAGGGGGGGCTTTACTCATTTGAATGGTCAAAAAAATGTATAAACTAATAGTTTAGTGTCTTTCCGGAGGGGAGCTCGGTTTATTCGAGTGTTGTTTGCTCCGCTAAATATCTGTGAATTGAAGAATCCAGATCTCGGGTGTGTTCTATGGGTGTGTGTTACTGAAAGTCCCTGGTCTGTGAGGATGGGTCCTCCTTACGAGTCAGATAGATAGTCAGTGAGTTAGAGAATAATTAGAAAAATAGTTAAAACTATGAATAAATGAATCCACAACAATCATGTTACTGTTTGGCCATTAGTTGGTGCATTAGCATTGTCTCTTCCTTTGGATGAAATGAATATGAACATCACAAGAATATTTCCCTGACATTCAACCTGCGGTATTAAAAAACACACCTCAATTAAATCCTTCTAATAGTCATATGCAAAAAAAAAAAAATAGCCAAAGAGACAGTGTTGCTGGGAAGGATGTGGCTGAGATAAAAACAGAAACAAGAAATAAGATAAGGCCTTGGTGCGTGTGTGGATGTGTGTGTGGGAGGGGGGGAACTAGCCAAGTGACGCTTAAAGATGTTTTTCTGAGCAGCAATGAGGCTCAGGAGGACAGGGTCAATATCCACCAGCCCCCATCTCTGAGCGTCCACAAAATGAATCCTCCAGCTAAAAATACCAGTGCTTTATGACCAGAACTGATGAGCCGTGATGCTGCCGCTTGCTCTCTTAATGCGGCTACAGAAATCAACCTTGTCCCCTCTCAGCGGCTCTCGGTTATCAAGTAGACAGATTGGGAGGAACCTAGTTTTTAATATGCCGGCAAAAGCGCTTCAGCTTGAAATTAGGGGGCAGCGCCTTTGAAGGAATTTCATTCACCGAGGCACTTTTGAATTTTTTTTACCTCTCGACCTGTGCTCTGCGAGAAAGAGAACGGCGTGAACAGGCGGAGGGGGGGGGGGTCATGGCGGACGAAAACTTCAAGGGAGATTACCAGCCACCAGGAACATGATTGCCAGAGGAAGGGAGATGAGAGTGAGAGATATTGTGACAGCCATAGTGAGGGGTCAAGTGCTCTGTGCTCTCGTGTGGCCCACTAAAGGAAAACTCCCTCCATTGAACGATCTGCTTTAGTTCTCTCTATGTAAGTGCAGGTCAGAATCCACTGTGTTGCAAGTGGCAGGGGCTATTGAAACATGCGAGCCCTCCACTTAAAACCCGTGCAGTGGAGAGTAAAAGCGGACTACTTTCGTTTTGTAGTTCGGCACGGCTGAGCTGAAACAAGATCACAGAGGGACGTTTGTGCATTTGTTTCCTCACTTTACCGTCCAGTTCACTGTACCAAGTCGGATCTGGTTCAGTTTGTCTAGATAGACCAGCAGCTGTGGTTGAGGGAGGATGTTGTTAATACTTTGACTGAATTCACTGTGGTCTATGCTGTGATATCTTGACTGTTGGATGAGTTACATTGACATTTTTTTGAAGACATTGACTTTTGAGTTTAAAAGAAAGATACTTCTCAAATACATCTTTGTTTTTTGTCAAAAGATTTTCTGGCTCACAATATCGTTACATACCAATAAAATATCATTTCTTCTTCAAAGAGAAAGAATATTACGTTGCTCATGAAACATTAGTGCCACAGTTTGGGTCTTTTAATATCAATGACAACTTATGTGACATTTACACAAATTGGAGACGTCTGTGGAGGCTGTGTACAAAGAGGCTGAGCCGTGTTTCTCTGTGTGACGCTTCAGTCCGGAGCAAATGCTGGGATGTTTCCTCACACAAATCCCGTCTGCCGTTCTGTCTGTTACACTCTGTATGTCTACGTCTGTGTCTCAGAGTGCGGCCGTTCATTTTTGACCCCATCCACCCATGTGGAGACTGTGTGTGTGTGTGTGTGTAAGATGGCTATATATAGAGACGTGGTTGGTTAGCCGGTAAACACACTGAGTAATACTGAGATGCGTCATTTTGAGATCCTATGACTCTACGTTCAAGACCTGTATGCATACACACACACACACACACACACACACACACACACACACACACACACACACAAATACAGCGAACGTATTTCTTGTGATTTTGAGAACACACTAACATGAAATGGGGTTGATTTTTTAAAATAAAATAACAAAAGCTTTACTAATTAAGACAGAACACATTTAGTAAAATAAGGAGGAGTTGTGTGTGTGGACACCTCTGCTCAAACGCACACTCCTCGAGCGACACACTTCAACATACCGTAGCTGTCAATGTCCTCATAATGTCACTCTCCTCCTTCTCCCTTCTCATCTATCATGCTGTCATTCTTTTCTTTGCCAGCGGAGAGTCTCCCTTCCAATTAATTAAGTCGGATGTTTATCCTCACAGCATAGAATGAGAGAACAAAGAGTGTTATTCGGGTTTTTACAAGCACTAATAATGATAATGTTCTTAATTACAATCTCCTCTTAGAGTATTGTGTGGCTAGAGCGACTGAATGTGCTGCACAACAAGTAGAGATTACCAAC